TATTATTACACAAATTTTCTCAGTACAGATTGATTCAAGGAACAGATTTGAGAGTGTGTCTATGAGCTTAGAACTTCCTACACAATCAAACTTAAACAAATTATGTATAAACCAAATAAGCAACTTGGCAACAAATTAATGTTGAATCTTTTATATCAGTATTTGGTGTTTTACTATGTTTAAAATATATTTGTCAGGGTTGCAAAGCATTAGGAGTCATCTTAGCAATTTCAAAGATGCTAATTATAGTAATGAATTTATTGGAAAATCCAAATCTTTTTTCATGATACAGCTGTATTCTACTAATGATATAAAATCATGATAAAACACTGTTACATTTATATATTAAATGACCAAAAATCATGATTTGAACATTAACATTAAACTGACATGGTGAAAGTCCACAAAATCTATAATAAGTTTATTCTATAAATAATTCTTCAGCATGTGGTGTCTTAAAATGTTTTCTTATATCACATTATGTTAGTGTCATGTCCATCAAAGGTTTTATAATACATTTGAGTATTACATTATGCAAGTATTTTACCTGTGGCCATTTATCCATATAAGGTGTTATCATTCGAAGTCGGGTTTCCACAGCTCCTCTAATAAATGGTGTGATCTTTGGACCACTGAAATATTATAAATTAAATTTTGTATGTACTTCCTGGAGGATTAATTAATATTTAAAGATGGTTTTTACTTCGTTTTATGTGGTCATATGGTGGTAAGTCTTCCCAGGTACCAGTTAAGTTTTAAAATACCATCACAACATATACATTCACTTACAACATACAGAGAATCATCAAATCTTGAAATTATCTTTATATTATATATGAAACCCTTCAGATCACAGGTTTTACCGAGGCTCTATTTGTACCAATGTTCCTGCAATTTCTCCATGGGTAATAACCCCAGTTTTACAAATGGCTAGTATGTTTTAAATCTTTATACATGGTACAGCCAATATAACTTTATTTAAGAGGCTGTTTCTGCAGCATTGCTTCCTATTTTTACCTACAATTTTTCCCAGAAAAATGTAAAATATATAAATTTTATTATCTTCCTTCTTAATTATACTTAAACAATAATCCAGAACAAAATATAATTCTAGGAAGATGTGTTCCAAGACCCCCTCTTAAATTGTTACAACACAAAAATTTAAACAAAACTACACCCCAGTTTCTAAACCCTAACATTTAATTGGTTCAGATTGGAAATTGACCAATAGCAATACTTCATATATACACTGGCTATTTTGAGTACTATTTTAATCATAGATACCTTGGTTTCTCTTCATTTTGTTCACTTTGTTCCTTCTCCTGTTTCACCTGCTCTGCTAGTTGTTCAGCCAGTCTTTTATTACAGTCCGTGTAGAAATAGTACACAAGTTCAACACCACCCCTCGGAAACAATCCATGTGCCACCCCTGGTAAACCCTCTGCCTCTGCACCTGTAAGTCCAAAAATACTTACTACATGTAAATAAGTTAAAAGACACAAAGAACAAAAGTCTTTTCACTTTAAAGTTAAGTGGTTTTTGGAATTTTTTATATCTAATCTTCAAAAATATGAACAATTTTTAGTTCTTCATTGTTTTTAATTTTTTGTTTTGGTTGGATTTTACGTTGCAGCAACACAGTGGAGTTCATATAACTACTTTACAGAGTTACTGGTGGAGGAAGTCCTCTATTGCCTTCAATGCATTACTTCAGGCACAAGTGGGCACCTGAGTAGAACCACCAACGTTCTGATGCTAGCTGGATAGCTTCCTCACATAAAAGAATCCAATGTCCCTGGCAGGATTCAAACCCACACATGTGAGGGGCAAGTGATTTGCAGTCAACTACCACTTTGCCACATTCTTTAAGCCACTTTCTAAACAACCAAACAGAAATCTCATTCTACAGGGCTTGATCACATCTAGAACATTTAACTGCAAATAATAACTCTTTTGAAGTACTCCTGAAAAATTCAGTACACAAAATCTTCTAAAAAATGCTTATATACATCAAATTTTTTAACCTACTGAATGTGTGAAATGCATTTGCCTTGCTATGAATTTGGAACAGTCCATTAGAAGTTAAGGGCAATTCAGTATCAGAATATCGAAAAATTGAACTACTAACAGTATAGAGCCTGGTCATACTGCATGCTAATGAAGGCTGGCCTGGCTCTATACTAATGACAAAGGCTTACCATTTTCAGTTCAAGCAGGTAGAGTTAACTTACCAGCAGCTATGGCATTCTGAGTCCAGCCTTCCGAGAGAACAAATGGTAGAGAAGATTTGAGAATTCTTTGTCTTATTTCATATTCTGTCTCCTGACCACCATTGTCTACATTCCTGAAATGATCAAAAAGTTTGGGACATTTTCTTCATGCCCTCCCCTAACATTATAAGTTTTCTGCCATCCCCATTTTATTTATTTACTAGTACTCATAGACGGGACATTATCTTTTTTACAACCCTTTCGGGAGGTAGGGTTTTACATCACACCCATTCTGTATAATTCGGTCATATTTCAGGTGCAAGTTGGAACTTCAATAGAACCACCAACATTCTGTAAACTGGATTGATAGCTTCCTGACATGGATGAATCCAATTTCTTTAGCTGGATTCACACACACACCTGTACAGGAAGTCAGCAATCATTACCTCTCAGTCAGAGGCTACAAAAATTACAAGATCTAGATTTATATTTAACACTGTTATTGGCAGTTTTTTGCATTGAATCTCTTATTGCATGTTTTTCTTTAATATTTGTAAAAAAAATAATTAATATAAGGTCATATTTCAGTGGTCTGTCCATCTAACAGGCTTTCCTGGATAACTAACAAGAAATAACAAAATTCTCTACAAAACCAACTAAAACTAATCCCACATGATTTCAATATCTGCAGTGAGAGACAAATGACTATTAGACTCAATGTCCAAGAGAAATTTCCTGTGGCTTTAGGATCAAATAGCAACCCCTAGATTATAAATCTGATGGTTTACAAATTGAGATAAGCGGACGGACGACTTTATAAACCAAAACAATAATCATATCAAATGGGAACAATAAAGGTTTAGACAAGAACTAACCTGTCTGGTGTGTATCCAGTGCCGTTTCCGGTTGACTCCTGTGACATCATCCGACATGATGCACCTCTCAAGTGACACCGTACTGCAGTGAAAGTACATGAACATTTTAAATCAATCATATAGTTTTACAAAGATAATGAATTTGAATACGTTTTTTTTTACATAACTGCAAATGAAAACTTCTTTCACTTACCAGTACTGGATGTTGCACTAGCTAGCGAACTTGGAAAGAATTCTAACAGGATCTAATGGCACTTTGCTTACAGGCAATCTTTAGTTTATGTTGCAGGCAATAAAAGAACAGCTTGACAGACAGGCATGCTGATCCAGCATATACCCTTCAACTTAGTTGTGAATGTGTCGGTATAGTATACACCCTTTGTTTAGACTTTATAAAAATACACCAGAATTCATTCAATGGAATTGGCAACTTTGGCACACAACTGGAAAATGTTTACTGGTTTCCTAACTATCTCCACAGAAATACTTTAAACCTCAGCTGTTAGAAGAAGCTTCTTCAGTGAAGTCAGACTAAAGTCTCACTTGGAATTTACTTCGAAAACATGAAACAATATAGAACCAATGAAAGAGCACTTTATTTAGTTGAAAATTTGTTAACACTACTAATGAAGACAATAAAGGGAAAAACATTTAATTTAACATTAACAAACAGCAATAAAACTTCAGGCTTTTGTTTGGTTTCCTTACCAAAGTCCAACTCAATTTTCAACATGAATTGATTTTCATCACACCATTTAACTTTTAGATTCAATTCTTTTTTGACAAATGTTTCTCCTAAACCTGAATTTGTGTAAGAGATGTGCCATGCTTTGAACAGTCTATTCAAAGTTTAAAGAATTTCAATATCACAATACAAATGAGCCGCGTCATGACAAAACCATCATAATGGGTTTGCGACCAGCATGGATCCAGACCAGCCCGCGCATTCGCGCAGTCTGATCAGGGTCCATGCTGTTAGCTTACCAACTCTATTACAAGTAGAGAAACTGATAGCGAACAGCATGGATCCTGATCAGACTGCGCGGATGCGCAGGCTGGTCTGGATCCATGCTGGTCCGCAACCCATTATGTTGGTTTTATCGTGACGCAGCTCAAATAGAGAGCTACAAACAGTATAATGCCAGATCTTGGAGGCTGGTCTGACTCTAACTTATACTTCTGGTAAAGAATAAATCACTTTTGGTTCCAGTTGGTTTAAGATTAATAAATGGCACTTGAATATACATGTAGTTAAAAAAATTATGCTTCAGTTAGTCAATACAAGTTAATACAACTTCAGAAATGATGGATCCTCCCCCCCCCCCCCCCCAAGTTCTGACACTAGTTAAAGAATGAGCAACTTGAATAAGACACAGTCATCAGGAATAATTTAATCATGTTTAACATTGCTAGAATTTCAATTTTACAAGGCTAAAAAAGTTTATAACACAAATAACAAAATGATCTCATCTTCTTTCAGGACCTTACTTCTGGTATAGTGCACAATTCACATATTTTTGTCTTTGGTATAATATGTTATGCACTATCAATTATGAAAACAATGTCGTTTCATTCTTTTCAGAATTTATATTTTCTATTTAAAAGTCAACATCAATTGATGAAAATTTTCAATTTTTTGCTCAAAAGTTTGCAAATTATCTCAAGAACCAATGGCATTTTTCATCTTTTCTTTATTTTGCCCTACAGTTTTTAGTGAAAAGTTAAATCCAAATCTTACAAAAGATTAAATGAACAATCTGAAAAAAAGGTAAATGTAGCAGTCTTGAATTCCTTGTAAATATCAACTCTCATTTCTTTGGCTAATACAAAACCACTAGAGAAAGAAAATGTAATAACTTCAAGTCAATTAAATTGTATCTGCTTGTAATATTCTTTATGACTGGATTTTTTCTTCTTCAGAATTTTATTTGTCTGCTGATTTCTTTTGCTGATCCACAAGTTCATTAACTCTAACTAACAAGCTTGTGATTAAATCTAATGTATTCAAAGCCATTCTCATAATTGCTATCTTCTGTCCACGAGCCATCTTTGGCATCTTGAACCCGGCTACACTAATACTCATTTCCACCTGTTCCTCCAGACTTTTCTTAGACTGGCTCCCTTCTTCAAGTCCAGTAATTTCCAACTGGTAATGTCCCTTAGACATGTCTAGACCCAGGTGTAAAGGTTTTAGAAACTCCTTCTCAATGTGAGGATAAAAATCCCAGAAACCAGTCAAATTTGTTTTTGGTGGATCCTTCAAAACAAGGTATCTAATAAAGTTAAGCACTGCTATTATTCTGTCCGAGTTTTCAACTAAATCAGTAGCTGGTCCCTCTGGTAGACTGGTCATCAATAGAAACACTCTTTTCAGATTAATTCCACAAAATATATGTGAATCCTTTGAACCAGTCCAGGGATCAGCTATTATTTCTTCCATTTGATTTTTGAAAAGTTGAACACAAAAGCCAAATGCTCCAGCATGCTTTAAAGTTCCAAACAATTTCAGAGAGATCTGGTACCTGGCTCTACTATCGAATAGCTGAATAAAGCCAGGAACAATCTGGACACAAAGCTGTCTAATGTCCTTGACCGGGCATCTTATCATTATGTCGAATAAAGCGTCCAATATTTGGAAATACTCTGGTCTGTCTAGATCTTCGTATGAAAGCACGGTTCCTTCGTTAAGAATCCCCAGAAGATGCTGAAATAACAGAACACCCTTTAAACGAACTTCACTTTCTTCCTTCCTCATTAAGGCAACCACAAACTTCAGATTGCTCTCCATTATGCCTTGCTTAGTGATAAGACACGAAGTCTCGTGCTGCCCGTACCCTTCAACAAACATTAGATATGATAAACAACTTAGAGCCATCATAGAAACAGGTTCTTCTTCAAAACTCACATCTTCACTTGTATCAAGTTTGATTCTTTTCCTTCTGTCTAATCTCTTATTGTGTGATAAAGAGTCGTCAATTAGTTCAGTAAATCTTGGGTGCAATGATGTCAACAGACCCATCAATCTTTCCATACAATTAACGGAACCAGACTTCACAGTTCGCCCATTTACTTCTTTTGCTTGCAAATCTAGGAAGACCAGTGGATGTTCCAAAACTCTCAGTAAGTATTTCACCAGTGTATTTTTCTTCTTTTGTAATTCACTCTCTTTACATCCAGACACTGTCAGACAATTGACAAATTTTGACAAGAAATTCAGATACTCTGCCACATCTGTATTAATTTTATCAACAACTGGGTCAAGGTCAGGTGCCCTACGTTCTTCGCCTTCAAGGTCAAGTGATTTTGGTAACTCTAAGTTCCTTATACAGTCTGATAATGTCTCTAATGCAAGCTCCAGCGAATAAAACTGGTTTGTCTCCAATTTCAAAATAACCATCTCCAGTAACCCCAGGAAAGTGGAAAACTTAACAGAATCGCTAAAACTGTCTGCTTGTTCTAACAAAGCCAACAAAAGTTCTTTAGGCTTTCCAACATTTAGCACATACTTCATGCATCGTTCGCACACAGTTACAAATCCAGGACATGTATCAAAGTTCTCTTGAGTGATACATTCACCGAGTATTGAGATAAGTTCCCAGTGTTCTGATTCCTCATTAAACTTATCTTCTAGAATCAATTTCTTCACACCAACAGGATCCTTGTAACTAACACATTCCCTGATAAGGTTCATCCTGTCTGCCACACTTTCAACTATCATTTCCATCTCCATACTTCAGTTAAACGTTTGTGTCATTAACTTTATTGACCTAGTCCTGCAAGATATAAAAAGGCAGCTTGTATATCATGACAATTATATCAATAATTTTGTATCTTTGTATTTATAAAAGACCAATTTCACGGGTTGACTGCAAAAATGCAGTAACTTATATATGAAATATTGAAGGACTTACAACAATTTTGCAATCAACCCTTGATTTGGCCTACATGATTTTTTTTTCTTTGCCATAAAGCATGAGTCATTGAAAATCTTCATTCTTTTTACTAGATTATTTTATTTTTTGTTTCATTTTTATAGAATTATAAGAATAGCAAAAATTAAGTCGAAATTATTTACAAAATTCAAAATATTGATGCCCAGTTCGTCCAATATATAAAATGAGTCACTAATGACTTGTCTACATGTACGTACATTGTATCACACAGTGATGAAGACAAGGCACAAATTTTTTTTTTAGATCTACAAGCTGCCAGTTTATATCATCATATATTTGTATATATTACATGTACATTTGTATATAGAGGATATGTGTCTGTTTTGCAAAATATCACAAAGTGAACACCATACCATGTCATATTTTAAAGTGAAAACATGAGCTGGTGTCCACAAGTGAAATAAAATTTGATCTTACATAATGATACAATACAATACAAATTTTCTTTTTATGAAGGCTTGGTAGTGGCTTTCAATCATTTTTACAAATTTTTGTTGACGACATGCACTACTTTTCATTATGTCATCAAATCATGACAGCACATTGCTCTTGCTGTACAATTTCACGAATTTTGTTATGGGGATAATCAGATGTTAAATCCATTAGTAAATACCACAACAGTGGCAACCAAGTTTCTTTCCCCTTCTAAATTTTCCTCACAATCTCCAGTATTTATTCTAGAAAACTTTATGTCCCCAGCAAGTGTTTGAGTAAATGGAAAACACATGGATAAGATGCTTTGATCTAATATTATCAATAGAATATAGATATATGTATGCAATGATCAAGACCAAGTTTGTAAAAATATATATAAAGATTTTTCTGAGTTATGATATTGAATTTCAAACTTGGGTAGAATCAAAGAACTGGAAGGGCGAAAGAGTTGCTACTGTATAACTGATACTAGAGGTGTACTGATAAGAAACCCAGGTAATCCTCGCATGTATCAGTGCTATACACTGAGCATGTAAAAGAACCAAGGGATCTTTTCAATTAGAGCTAGGGACTGGTTCCCGGATTCCCATGTATCTTATAACTGTCTCTGAAGTGAATAATCGAGAGTCATGTCTACCTCCTTGATGATGTTCTGGCCTGAATACTATAGAGGTATACTGAAAATTGTGTAATAGTGTCACATTATTGAAGTTATGAATACTAAATGTGGAAATTGAGTTTATAAATCATATTTTAGGGGATTGTAACAGGGACTGGAGGAGAGGGGGTAGTCCTATAACATAAGAAGTTTCCGTTAGTACTACGTACACTCCAACGTCTTATCGACTTCTTCATAAGTTCCTTTAGCAAAACACGCCCACATGTATACAGGTAATATGGCCGAATGTATATAGCGGTGAAAGTGGTATAAATGATATTGGATTGTATTTAATTATATACGAAGGTGAGTCATTTACTTTTTTTTTGCTGCACATTGATGCAAAATGTTTAAATTTACTGTCTGCATATCTTTTGACTATCTTTTGTAGTAAATTACGACAGTTTATATAGCGCTTCAAAATCGCTGCGCTTTTTGCTAAAGGAACTTAAGAAGAAGTCGATAAGACGTTGGAGTGTATGTAGTACTAACAGAAACGTCTTATGTACTTTTGGAATCGGTCCTCGGGGAGGAAGAAAAATATTTGGTGTTTTCGAACCTGTTACGTAAAGTGGTAAAATTATGATTATGCTTCGTAAATAAATCGAAAACGAAGAAATATCGCAAACTGATTAAGTATTAATACATACAGATACATTTTAAACTGATGTTTAAATAAATCACTGTCCATACATACCGAAATTTTGTAAAAGTTTGCAACTGAAAGTCTTAGCGGTCATGGAGGCAGCCATTTTAATTTTTTACTTTAACGAATAAACTATTAAGTCCATGTCATCTTTCAAGGACGCGGCCAATAAAAAACCGAGGTCCGTTAAGGCGGGGCAATATACATTCGATGATTCTAAAGGAGGTATCACCGGAAAATATGCCTGTTAGATAGATATCAAATTTATTGTTTTACACGGCATAAGTGATGATTTTCCTATTCAATATGAAAGAGTAATATTAGCAATAGTAGACAAATGTCTCGATTTTTGTTTGATATTTAAATAATTTATTTCAAACTTGCCTTATAAAGATATAAAACAAAAGGCAGCAACACTCTTGATCTCTTCCTAACAAATATGCCAGGTCTGGTGCTGTGAACTGGCGACGCAAGTTCACAGCACTAAAACCCTACCGCCTCTAGTCTAGGATCCTCTGATCATGTAATTGTTTTCAATGAGTTAAAGGTTAATGCAGAGGTCGCCCCATCCAACCCATAAGAGAAATCAAATGTTAAAAGAAAGCTGACTGGTCAAAATTAAAAAGCAACTTCAACTCATTTGCCCTACAGTATCCTTCCTTAAACAAAAGCATACCGGCTCTAATTCTGCCTGGCTTTTATGTAAGAATGAATTAACCCGCCTCAGTTCAATCAATATCCCCTCAAAGAGAACTAAAGTACGTCGGGATCTACCCGCCAAATTAGGTAACGTATCTACTGTATTCAAAAATTAAAAAGTCTAATATTACCCCTTCCCTGGACTTGCTAAGCAAATCAAAAAAGCTTAGAGTTAAAATACAAAAAGAAATAATTAAGGAACTCATACTGGTTGTATTTAGACATGGTCTCTGATGATTCACAACCAGGAAATAGTAAGAAGTTCTACTCTTTCATCAAATCAAACAAACCGAAAATTGTGGAGTAGCACCTTCAAAGAGTGATGGTCAAACCTTTACTGATCCTAAAATGAAGACAGACATACTAAATAAACAATTTGAGTCTGTCTTCTCCCGCCCCAACCATTAAGTCTAAACCAGTCATGAAAACAATTGCTTACTCCACAAAACCACCCAAAAATGCACAAATGTCAACATAACAGAGGAAGAAGTAAAGAAAATCCTCAAAGGTTTAAACCCAAGCAAAGCCTCTGGCCCCGACCAACTGTCCCTATTAGGTTATTGAAAGAACTTCATACTGAAATTGCCCCAGTTCTCACACACATCTTCCAAATTTCCTTAAAATCTGGTACTGTCCGCCATGACTGGAAGCACGCAGTCATTGCCCCTGTTTATAAGAAAGGCCCAAAATGTATGCCTAGTAATTACAGGCCTATATCATTAACCTGCATTGCCTCATATATAATTGTCTCCAATATCATGTCTTTCTACGACAAGCATGATATTCTCGGCAATTTCCAACATAGTTTCAGGTCAAAACATAGCTGTGAAACACAGTTTATCAATTTCACCCATGAAGTTCATGACAATCTAGAGCAAGGCCAACAGACCGATGTCATTGTCATGGACTTCAGCAAAGCATTTGATAAAGTCGACCATCACAAACTTCTCCTTAAACTACACAGACTAGGTGTTAGCTCAGAGGTAATCTCATGGACAAGGTCATTTTTATATGGTCGCACCCAACAGGTCGTTGTTGATGGTCAAAACTCTGACAACTTACCTGTTCTCTCTGGTGCCCCCCCAAGGCTCGGTCCTGGGACCTTGTCTCTTCTTATTCTACACAAACGACTTCCCTGATAGTGTTAAGGGCAATGTCAGGCTATTTGCAGACGATACAATAGTATAGCTAACAATCAAATCAACCCAAAACGCCCAAACCTTCCAAAAAGATCTCAACAGTCTTGAAAACTGGGAATCTGATTGGTCCATGGAATTCAACCCAGATAAATGTGAAGTCCTTAGTATCAGCCGCAAGAACATCCAGTAACATTCCCGTATAAATTACATTGTCAACAACTAAAATCCAAAAGGCTGCAAAATATTTAAGCGTAGCGATTCATAAAGATCTATCCTGGACCAATCACATAAATAACATAACAGCAAAAGCAAATAATTCACTCAGATTTATAAAAAGAAATGTCAAAACTTCAAACAAAAGGTCAAAGAAACTGCCTACAAAACTTATGTTAGGCCCCAGTAAGGATACTGTTCAACGGTTTGGCATCCTTGGCAAAAATATCTGGTTTGCAAAATAGAACAAATTCAAAGGTCAGCTGCCAGATATGTATACAACGACTACAATTACACCATTATCTAAAATGATAAGTGAACTTAACTGGCAAACCCTAGAACAGAGGCGCAACATCAGTCACATGTCCAAATTTTTCTTGGCGATGAGGGGGACTACCGCCCCCCTTCCAACCCCCAAACAGAAGGGAGCACATCCCCCTTCTGGCTACCCCCTGATATAACATTTGGATGGGGGACGGCGCCGAAAAATGGTCACCTTTTTTAACAACATTTCTCAAACGAAAAACAATGTTTGCGGCCTAAATAGGCATTTATTTCACTGTTTGAGGCCTCATAAAAGGGGAGGGGGGGGGAGCCTTCGAAACACGCTTATATCAGGGAAAAGGATAAACACAATCATATAAGCTTCATATAAGCTTCAAAGGTTGCGCTTCGAAAACTGATAATAATACAGAAAAAAATGCTTACAAAGGAGCATAACTATATAATTTATGACTTGATTGTGGCAAAAATCGACCGAAGCCTGTGTTTCGATTTTACATACTAATATTAAAGAATCAACATTGACCTGTGTCTTGACCTAAATTAAAAATGCCAAATATAAATGAGATCATTGAAATCTTTTCTTGAAGAAACCATTAATTTCACAGAAAATTTTAAAAGTGACACAACTCTATCAATATAGGTTGATTGCAGCGTATGTTTGTGATTTTCTTAATCAAATTTATAATGCGATGTATGAGGAAACTGGAGGTTACATGCAATAGTTTAAACAATATTTATTTGTAATCTTTTCATTTACATAATAAAGTACATGAAATAAATTTTACGGATTGAGTAGGAAGCTTAAAAAGTTTTTTTTTGAAAGTTCCCTCCGTAATACTTATTTCACAATTTTTATGTAAATGGTAACAAAATACACAATTAATATATATAGACTAAACAGTTCGAACTCTGTATCTTTTACTTAGTCACTGTTATAATAAAAGTAATCAATGTATTTTGGAGAATAAATTGAGAAAATGATATATATAATTATATATAATATTATATATATAAAAAAAGGAAAAAACAACAACATTTTATGAGATTTTGAAAGTGAAGGATAAACTGTGTCTGAAACGCTTCCGTTTTCAAAACTATAAAATGCACGTTAACTGTCCTTTTTTCGTATACACAAGAAAAACAAATCTTGCTGATACAGTTGATTTAAAATTACAGATTCTCCTTGAAGAATGACAAAGTTGAGGTGAGGATAATTGACTACGGAGGAATTATCACGAATATATTTGCACCGGATAAGGACGGGATACCAGAAGATATCGTGCTTGGTTTTGACGCATTTAAAGGTATCTTGACATATGAGCTGCGTCATGACAAAACCAACATAGTGCGTTTGCGACCAGCATGGATGCAGACCAGCCTGCGCATCCGCGCAGTCTGATCAGGATCCATGCTGTTCGATATCAGTTTCTCTACTTGTAAAAGGGTTGGTGAGCGAACAGCATGGATCCTGATCAGACTGCGCGGATGCGCAGGCTGGTCTGGATCCATGCTGGTCGCAAACGCACTATGTTGGTGACGCGGCTCATATATAGAAGATATTGAATGAGTGTACAGTAGGTTCAATACTAAATTGATTAAATGAGTTGAATAAAATTATATTATTCGAGCCTCTTCGACTAATTCAAAAACATCAGTAATGAATGTACACGAATTTAATATTCTATTTATCACAAACTCAAAATAAAGATCGCGTCTTTGCACTATGTATGTATAACAAAAATGACGTCACGTCAAAATATATGCACGGCCGTGCAATACTATTTTTACGGGCACGGGTATGTGATAAATATGATTTATTTATTAATAGTTCTAAATAAAAATGTTTTCAACATAAATATAATGGGATGAAGAAAACGTTGTGATGGCGCATTTATCTTATTTTGTTATTTTATTTTTATTTTATTGGACACATAAATAGGTCACTTGGTCTCGGATTATGTAAATGTTACATTTATCGGTTAATCAATGCATCCATCAATTTATATTTTAATAAGATTGTACATGAATTTGAATTAAAAATGGTTACATATTCACATTTACGTGCCATTTAAATTTATTATTGGACATCTTGAAATTTGATTTCAAATTGTTTCATTGTAATTTCTCTCACAGTGTAAGAATTCTTACATAAAAATTGATAAATTAAAACAAAAACAACAACAAGAAACCTCAATAGGATATGTCATATAACACTGCTCTTGATATCAATTAAGATAAAACCAAAGTATTCCATATTGAAATTTTAATTGTGATTATCAAATGTTAAATCTGATTTTATTGGAAAATTTTATAACTGTCGATAATTTCAGGCAATTTCTTGCTTAATTTCTATTTGTTTTAAATTTGAGAAAATAATGTTAACTTGAGGGATAAGTTTAAAGTATTAAAATTAAGCATCCAATGTATAAAGAGCCTGGTCAGTCTGTACGGGTCTGATTTTATACTGAAGACAAATGTCTTAAATGTTGTTTGTAAATATCAAACTGGCTTCAATAGTAGTCTTTTTCATTTTACTTGAGAGGAAAATCGTTTTAAATTCATAGTACTTATATTTTGTTTCTGTCGTGGGTTTTAGGGCCCAGTTAGCATTTGACATTGCCACTGTTGTAGCTAAAGAGACTTCAGTGAAACAGATTTAATTAATAGTACAGTCGAATTTACTGTCGCACAGCGTCAAAATAAAAGCGACATATAAAGTAATGGAAACCAGAACTATCACTGTTGTAGTTAGTATAAAATAGTCCTTGTTCCTTTCAGTAGAAACCATAATATAAAAGATGAAGACAACTGTAACTGTTGTTTTCTTTGTTTTTCAGACGGCTATGACAAAAATTCTCCATACCTTGGAGCTCTAATCGGTCGCTATGCCAACCGTAATAATTTCGACGTGTGCTTGCTTTTTTAATTTAAGCATACATACTATCTTTATAATAAGTTTTCATGCGCTAAATTCAAGAATCATAAATATGTTCAATGCAGGTAACTTACCACATACAAATAACTGATCCCAGTCGAACAAATTGTACAGTTGAAAAAATTTCCCATTTCAGATGTAGCAATTTGGATCCTCTTTGTTTGTTTTCTTAAAAAGTGAAACTTTTCTACTGGAATTTCTACAAATAAATTTTGTTGACAAAGATGAAATTAAACTCTCTTTAAAATTGGATTGAAACGTTACATTTATTTCCACTGTCGATACACTTTGTTGAAAGTGTCTAGTTTACTTTACAGTCGACTGTCTGTATAGATTTATCACGACTGAATCTGCATGTACATATATGTTTACATATTTAATTTTGCTTTTGTGAAACCCTAAATTTAAGTCTTGAGATTAATTACAAATCTTATGCAGAAAAATCCAATACGATTATTTCATCTTGTGTTACATGAACCTCCGGGTTATTTGTTCCAATACTTTTAGTTTTGAGATTTAGACACTGCTTGCCTTAATCCGGTGCTAAGGGGCGTTGGAGATGTTACACTTCAAACAGTCTCTCAATTTTCAACAATTTGTCTTTTTTTATTGCGCAGGAGAGGATAGATTACCTATTCCCAGAGTTTTTCTTCTTGGGTTGAATAATAAAATATAGAAAGTGATTAAAAAGTTATTTCAATTTCACACATACTGTGCTAACAAGATAAAACAAGTTATTTGAAATGTTCCGATACAATATCTTATGTTTATTGTACCTGAACAAAAGTACTTTACGTCACAAGTTATGTCAGTGTCTCGTTTTAAATGTACTGTGTAATTGTGTCACGGGGACTTATTTCGGTAAGCTAATCTTTCTAATAAATTTCGAACAAATTATAGTAACATGCAACGTAATTTCGATTGTATTTTTCAATTTAATCATACTTAATTTTTTGTATTATTATCATCATCGCCTTATCCGTTTTTTGATCGCACCATTTTAGTACATTTACTTTCTGTTTTAATGTGTTCTGATTCAAAGATCAGTGGAATACAACAGAAGCATATTTTGAAAAGTGATATATTAGTTAACATAGACAGAAATGCAGATGAAAAAACAAAGCAATCTGAAAGAAACAGAAACTAGATTTTACAAATATTTATTAATGGTATTAACTTTTTAAACTTCCTTGTCAGGAAAATTGGTAATCTAATCTTGTCTGTGCTTGTATACGTATTCAGTCTATCCAAAATATATTAAGTAAAGAGAAACTGGCTATATTTCTAAAAAATAATTCACAGGTAAAGCATGGAGTCCAATGCCAATATCGATGACATTCCAAACGACAAGCTGAATTTCTTCTTGAAGTCCCATCTTGCACTCTTTTATACACGGCAAACTATTCAACCATTAGTGAAAAGAGAAATGACACAATTTCTTCAAAATGCTCTAAATCATATTTACCAATCTGAAAATATACCAGAAGGAACAAAATGTACATCATGCGACATCCAAAACTTATTGCATTGCCGCACAAAAGGAATTTGCATCATTAGAAACAATCAGTGCAAATTCCATAATGGACCTGACAAACAATTCAAGATTTGTTCGGAAGGAATTTGCGCTGAACTACTGAAGCAAATTGAAAAGACGCATAGGTTCACACCTCCATGGGAGAATACAGATTCGAAAAAATGGTGCGAAGATGTGCTTGAAATTTCTAAATGTTATATGCCAAAAGATGGCTACAGAAACGTCACTAATTTTGATACCATTGACTTTAATGGTGTTATCAACGTTATGATTAACCACACAGGATTTCAGAATGAAATGACTGAAAACCTATCAACCAAAGACAACATCTGTGAAAAGGTATTTTTTTATAGTTTGTATAGAAGTGCATTGAATACTTCAGACGGTGCTTTAGTACATATAAGCTGCTGCAATTTCTGTTGTTTCAAATAAACCGGATATGTTAAAATCGTATTTGCATTTTTCATCTGTTTGTTTTGTTTTTATTGCTCTCTCTCGGGATCTGTACTTTATCTGTTTTTTAGAACTCAAAACACAAGATAAATGCTGAAGGACAGTCTTATTCAGTTGCCCGGTACAGAATACCTGTGATTTATTTACTTTCCCAGTCGTCCAGGAGATAACTGATTAGAATAGTGGTTAGGATGGAATACGGCTTTATGCCGGTGATAGGGGGATGGGTGGGAGTAGGGGGTTAGAAATATTTTCTTTTATTTTCCCTAATGGACAAGCCAAGTTTTTGCAATTTCACCTGTCTTTGTTGTCATTGCCTTAGATGCACCTTCCCTCTGTCATGGTTGTTTTGCAATTAAAAGCAGGTGCTATTTTAGTGATAGATATACATAAATAGCACATGATTAATTTTGTCCTTTACTTTATGCCAGTGCCTGGTGATAATATAAGCTCTAATAGTATTAATGTTGACGAAACAGGTCCTAGGGAGCGTTTGAGCTGTTGCACATTGTCTGTCACAAAGATATGCAATTATCATCTATGTACGAGTATTCTTGGTTGCCCTGGTCTTGAGAAATTCTCCAATTGACTAGAATCTTTAAACAAGATACAATTCATTGATCAGTTCCCATTTCATACTAATCATAATATAGATTTGTACACACAACAGTTAATAACCGGCAGCCATCTCGTAATTATAAAGTGTTGCAAACTTTCGTTATTTTTAAAGAAATCTCAGAAAAGGACTTTTAGATTTTTAAAAAAATAAAACTTGAATGGATAGTTTGTGTGTGTACACTTCTTATTGTTTAAGAGGTATTTTCTTTATCATTATCAAATGTATACAATCTTGTTTCATAGGCTCGCAAAGTTGGGAACAAAATCAGACATTCAAACATACACATTGAAGAATCTGCTTTTCTCGAATATGTAGACGTTTTGATGGAGCTATTGTCGGATGATAAATACTTTGGTGATAACCCGATAGCTCAATCAGCACGTGACAAATTGAAGCAAGTAAGCCGATTCCTTTATTTGTTGATGAAACATCTCGGCTAGGCTTTTTGAAACTTCATAAGCAATGTAACAAATCCTAATACTTTGTATGTCCTCCCATTGCTATAACAACTTGTAAACACCTCTGTCTCATGGAAATAACGTTGTTTCTCATGAGGACTTAGGAAATATTTCTCCATTCCTGAAAAAGGGCTTACTCGAGTCAAGCAAATTGCGTAGGATACTGGTCGCCTTCTCACACGCCTGTTCAATTCATCCCACAAGTGTTCGATGATGTTTAGATATGGTGACTTGGGAGGCAGAAGTTGTTGTCGAACGTTCTGTCGCTGCAATAATTACCGTTTAGTTTGCGCTGTATGTGCCGCGCACCATCATGGAAGAAAACCAATCTGCTTTCTAAGCCGCTAGATCTAAACATATCGAACATTCTTGGGATGAATTGAACAGGCATATTTGTTTTGTATTTTTTTCTTCTTTTTTGACAATGAATTGTAAATGAATTTTAAAGTAGTAAGCATGATATGTTGAATCTTGTATGGTCCAAATTTGAACAAAATTCGTCTACAAATAAACAATTTATATCGAAAAATGTAAGTGTCTGGTTATAAGTGCTTCTGAGTGTATATAACCTCTGTAAAACTGCAAAAAAAAAATGAACCAAACCATGAAGCGTTCATTAATGACTTTATTATATATATATATAATAAAGAGGGACAAAATTCGGGCCTAAAAATTTGTTCCTTTAAAAATTTGTTCCTTAAAACCGAAATTTCGCTATAATCATGTTCGCCATAAGTGATGTTTTATTATACATTTACAGTTGAAGTCCAGTGATTGGTTAATAAAACACGAGTCTGAAGAATTCGAACACGTGCGTGAAGAAGTGCAGAATGACACGGACTTCGAAACAAGACGCAAGACAATGGCTATTATCCAAATGGCAGAACAGAGAATCCTCACATGCAAATGTATTATTAAATTCCCTCCATCGTCTGTCAATCATAAGAAATTAATTTCGTTTACTATTTATAAACGTGATTGATAAACAATGTTTAATGTGGCATAACATTTCCATTTGGAGTATATGAATCATTTTTTATATTATAGTATGGACTCTTTTATGATTTTCATGAAAACTTGTTTCATATGACGAAATTGTTTTAAAGGAATATCTTATAAAAATGCAACTCTCATTCAATAATGTTATCAACTGGTCAATCAATTAAATTAAAGACTATCAAAATTTGCTTTTTAATCTTCCTGTGTTTTTTTCAGCCTCCCTTAGATCTGACCTCATCAGGTTTTATCGAAATCGTCATAGTACATTGCCAGTTTCTCCAGTCCATGTCCACAGTGATGAAAGTCTTATTGATCTTTATGTCCTGCCAGAAATGTACTTAAAAGGCCCATTAGGGAAGATGAGTATTGGCAATTATCATGAACTGCTTCATGAAAAACTTGGAAGACTACTTGAAGAACGGGAACTGAAAGAAATTTATATCACATCTGCTTCAGGAATAGGAAAGACAACATACGGGAAGAGGATGGCTTTAGCATGGTGCCAGGCGCATAATCCGTTAAAAGAACAGGTGCAGCATTTTGACAAGGAAGATTTGGATGAGCTTGAACGCTTTGATTTCTTTTTCTTTATTTCATTAAAAGACATCAAAGACCAAAACGATTACATTGACGACATAATTTTACGCACAATCGTGCCAGATTTAGCCAATGAGCATAAATATAGAAAAGATTATTTCATTTCAGAAATATTAAGTACATATCGGTGCATTATCTTCTTAGACGGCTTGGACGAATATTTGAAGAAAGAAACGACCTCAGAAGTACCAAAACGGAAAGTGCGTGACACATGCACCTATATTACAACAACAAGACCATGGAAACTTGAAAGCGTCCAATTGATATCCACGCAAATTGATAGAAAAGTAGAGATAAGCGGTCTTAGTTCACAGTCTGCTGACAAGCTCATAGAACTAGTCACCAGAAAGTTAAATGACAAGTATAAGCGCGAAATGAACCCAAATGATTGTATAGCAGAACTTGAGAGAAGAAATCTTGAAGGATTTAAATCTGTACCAATAATTCTTCTTCAAATAATTTGTCTTTGGTACGCAAAGAAACCTTTAGGACGATCTCAGTGCGAGGTGTACTGCAACATGCTGGAGCTTCTTTTTGAGATAGCCAGACAGAAAGATATCATATCTTATAACGGAAATGACATGTGTAAGAAAAAGTTGCCAAAGTGTTTTGACAAGAACTTCTACTGCCAACAAAACCGAGGGCTTTTGATATCATTAGGAGAAATATCTTTCGAAGCTTTATTTAAAGATTGTGGTCTCAATTCGGCGTATATAATCAGTGAGAGTACGATACAACGATGTACAATATCTGACAAACAAATCAACTTTTGTCTAGCTGTTGGTCTACTGACACAAGTTAAGGGTTCAGACCCTATCATGAAACAAGAAAACATGTATACGTTTCTACACCAAACCTTTCAGGAGTTCCTTGCTGGGCTTTATATTTCAACATCCGGTTTAAAAACGGACAAAATACTGTCCGACATTTGCCATTCAGTTGCTGATATTGTAGATAAGTCTACCATCTTCGTAGTCATGTGTGGCTTATGTCCAGATATTTCGTCATCTTTGTCAAAATATGTGGCAGAAATTCAAACAAATGATCCAACTGTCCAAAAATACCTGGAAGGTATCGATAATGATGAAAATTCCAGTTTAAAACGTTTTCAAACAGTCAATTTTGACTGCTTACAGGAAAGTCAAGATAACGGTCATAGTTCGTTGAAATTGAATATCAAGTGTGCCTTTATCGCGAATAATTTTCAAGTGAAGGGACAAAAAGGACATCATTTTAGACATTTAAAACACATACTCGCAGACAAGTCGAATTCTCTGAAAGCGATTGATATTTCGAAACCAAAGGCATCTTTTATGAACGAACTTCAGTTAGAGCAAACAAATGCCAAACTTGGCAAGATAAGTGTCCAGGAATGTGAGCTTACCGACCTTGTTCAGGTTCTGATTAAAAAGTCCTTTAGAACACTTACTTGTCTGCAGTTGAAGTCAGTTTCATGTGCATGTACCACAAATGCTTTAACTGCCATAGGTGAATGTCAAAACTTGAGAAACATTTCTTTTTGGGAAATTAAGTTAGATCATGCATCGTTTCAGAAATTTACGAAACTTCTGTCAGCCAAAAACAAAATGAAGGAAATAGAGCTCAAAAGCATAGAATGTATCCGCAATGATCAGCAAACAGAAAAATGCGATATGCGTCACATTATTGACCTTGGAACCCATAGGGAATTAAACAGAATTAGTGTATTTGACACATGCATTCAGCTGCAAAACTTGAGCAAAGAAAGCCTGTCAATGTGCGCTTTGCGCTATCTGCCCGATAAGGAAGATTTAGCAAATATTTTGTTTCTATTAGAGAACTCATTTGCATTGCAACATCTGATTTGCACTGATCTCTCAGAAAGTGCAGAACTTAATCACATTTTACCATCTCTTAAAATGTTGAAGCATTTAGAAGTAGAATTCTCTGCTGATGACGATGATTCCAGAGAGAACTCGATAGAAATATCTAAAAGCATGAAGAGCCTTGAAACTCTGAAACTCCGGCACATGCGCATGACGAATGAATCGTTTGGACAATTTTTTAAAGGTATACTCCAACTTAAACAAGAGATGATTGTGAATATTCAAGATGTTAGTTTTGATACGACAGAAAACTTCAACAATGCTAGAAAAGAAATAGAGGATTGTCCTTATTCTGAATTAGACGATACAAAATCAAATGAAAAGGCGTTGGTGTTTTCCACCAAGGAGAGAAGAGTAAAGACAGTACATGCTGTAGTTGTTGAAAAAACAAACTATCAGGACACAATTGACATATCATATTTTGCAGCATTAGGCATTGTAATTCTCGGAATTATTGTGCTTTATCATGCAATGAAGAATAAATTTAAGCAACGATGACCTGTCGAATGTGATATAATAAACTATACTGAAAGTAGTTAAAATTATGTGTCATAACTACATGTACTATTATCCTTTTTGTACTAGTCAAATACATCCCGCTATAACTGACACCGTAACAGTGACAGGTATAGCGGAAAAAGAAACATCTTAAACTTCCGGTCGCACTGCTGGCTCAGTTCGGCGGATTTTGCTTGGGTGCCAAATTAGGAAGTTTTACCTTCCAACCGTCACTGGATTTTACAGACTCAATCAAATGGAGAAAGGAATTTGTAATTTTCCTGTCTTCATTCCTTCCGAGGAATCGGTCCTTTTTCAGCTATTTTGTAATTAAACAACAACAGTCGAATGTCGTGTTATAAAAGTGCTTTATTTCGGGTTTAATTTTTTGTTTGTTTGTTTTGTTTTCAGCACAATAGTGTTCATATTGAGTGTAGCTAAACAATATTGTACAATTTTGATATGTAAAATATATGTATGTATATTTTATCAATAGCTAGCCCTGTCACAGTCGCGAGCTAGTTACCATGTACAAATGTATTTTGGTTTTTAAACTGAGTAATGAAAAAACTGCAATTTAAAGTATCCAATGTTTATAAATTGGCAAAACTCTATTTCATGCAATAATAACAATAGTTTATTACGGGTAGTTTAATGTTTATATTTCTTCATTTTCCTTGCATTTTAAGATTTGAGCAGTTTTAAATTTGATGAAATATTATTAAAGTCAAACTGTGTTCATTTTACTAAATTGCCATTTAATTAAAGGACTAAACCTCCTCGTATGTAAAACACATTATGAAGGAAATTTAAAAATACATGCAAAATGTAACTGTAGTTAGACATGTTTAGATGAAGTCTGTCAATGATTGTCATTATATAGAAAGTATCTCTCAATCTTCATGGCTTATGCAGTAATGAATCGTGCAGTTTACACTTCCAACACTGTAATCGGCCAAAAAAAAATACGTCAATGTGAAATTAAATGAATAAATTACCAAAAGCTATTGCAAACGTCCTTGACCAAATTTTTTAAATCTTCTAAGTTTTAAGTGTTATGAAAAATAGGTGAAAAAATGTCAAAATTTAATAGTATCTAACAAAGAAACTCGGGAACGACCGCATATTGTGGCTCATATTTCCGATCTTTTTATATATTTCTCTTACATACAAATACCCTTTGAATTATCCAAGTGTAAGGTCTCAAAGAATATAATATCGATTTTAAACGATATGTTCGTTTCCAAATTGGCAAAATCCCACGCTGTTATATTCTTTTTTCATTATACCTATTAATAATTTTTTTTATAATAACAGGTTTTGATTTATTGAGTATATTTTTTAAAGACCACCCTCTCGAATAATATAGAAGATATTCAAAAGTTTGACAAACAATATGTAGAGAGGATGGGAAATGTGCGCCACAATCTGCGGTCCCGTTCCCAAGCCCCCATGGATATCTAAATCACCAATTAAACTGTTTCATTAGTTTAAAAAAGCGACGATCGACAACTTTTACCAACATATGAATGAAAATACCACTATTACATAAAAGAATGAGAAATTACGTCTTACGGCCGTTTAATGTGACTACTGAATGTCACTATCAGAACCAAAAGTCACGTTAACGTCTAGCGAAACGACATCTGTTATATGTGCATGCTTTGTCGATTAAAATCTTGAATTGAAATCTTCAGTCAATGTAATCTAATCAGATTATTCTTTATTCATTAAAATAATTTTTTTCTTTATTAAGATATTTCCAAAATATTTAAATGCTAGAAAAAAACACCACACACAAGCGCACACGCGCGAGCTCTCTCTCTCTCTCACAAACACGCACGCACGCACACACAAAACAGTCACACAAAAATGGGACATTGTTTCAGTTACATTACTAGTATATCTGAGATACAACGGAAATGTCAGATTAACCCCCCTTGTGTCTTACCAAATTTCGCAAGAAAAGTACGTATCCAAGTCAGCTATTTATACTTAAATTAGTGACCATTCGCATCGAAGAATTTGTGCAAAATTTTGTAAACCACTCTTTAATTGCACTCTCATAATGGCAAATTGTGGGAATGAAATAATAGGGAAATAAAGAATAGTTACTTAAGTCAAAAGTAGGCCTGTTATTTCTGGTTATAGTCATATCTGAAATCATTTTAATTATAATAAGAAGTCTATCTGACCAATGGCAATAGTGCATTTGTGCCTTGGGGATAGGTAGGTGAGAAATAAAAGTAATTAAAGCATAATTAAAAGTCAATTTGTTATCATTACCTTGAACAGTAGTAACATGTCAAAATATATTTTTAGAATGTTGAAAAACGCCATATGACCTTCACAGTGTGACTTTATGTGCCCCCAACAAAACAAACTATCAGAACAATTATCCGGAGTCAGTTGTATACCAGAATGTTAGATTAAAATGATATAATTTATTTCATAAAGCAAAATAAACAACTCAGGGAAACATTTAAAATTACTGGAAATCTTGTTAATCGGTAGACCTTAGAGTCAACAATTATTACAATTCATTAAATTATTAACAAAGGGCAAATGACAAAAATATGAACAAAGGACAAATGACAAATTTATGAACAATTAAAATCATAAAGAAAGGACAAATGACAAAATTATGAACAAATGACAAATTTATAAACAATTAAAGGACAAATGATAAAATTGTGAATAAAGGGCAAATGACAAAAAATATGAACAAAGGACAAATGATTAAATAAAGAACAAAGGCCGAATTATTAAATTATGATTATGAACGAAGGACATATTTACGAACAAAGAACATAAAGGCTGATTCTTCTATATACATTCTTTTTTAACCCAACATTTATAAAAGATAAGGTTTTACATAGGAAACTACAGATAAACTCAAAGATTTATAAAAATAAAACTGATACAAACCAAAAGGAAGAATCAATTAGCTAGATATCAGACGATTACATCAAAATAAAAAATGACACATTGTTTAATGAAAATAAAACCCTGAGGCAAAAAACCAAAGCAATATTTTACTTTTATGCGATAAAAATCCAAATATAAATGTTCAACATATTCTTGTTGATAAATATTTTAGCATATGCTATCTGTTTTAAAATGATTTCCTGATTGTTCTATTCTGAAATCTAGAGATTATCTGTGAATATATTACTGAAATAGTAAAAATAGTAATATAAATAAGAACGAAGATTGTGGCATAGAATAAAAAATTGTCAACATATTGCTGCCGTTTTATTAAAGAAAGATATATGGAAAACAATCAAAGAGGCTTACCAATCTTACCACTTCTTTGCCGAGGATTAAACCGAGATGTAAAAAGAAAATGAAGAAAAATCAACAACAACGTACAACATAAAACAGACCCTGGATATATTAAATAGTCAAATGAATTTAACGAACTAACAAAGTAACAAAATGAATACAAGACGGATGTCAAGACAAAGAACTACATTCTACAAATTGTTACTTGTGTTTTTATTTGTGAGCATTTTGTGTAAGTTTTTCGTATTTCTCTTTAATTTTCAGTTTTAAACATTTACTAATGATGATCAAGTGTATTCTGCATTTATCGATCCTCTTGTTATATTTATTATGAAAAATTCTCACTGATTAGTATTTGCTTAACACTTTATCTTAAATCTAAACATGTACTATATATGCTTATTTTCTTTCTCAACAGTGCTGAAAAGTCATTATGAAACACCAACACATTTTGATGAGAGCAATTTAAGTCAAAAAGAGAAACTGATTACCATTGACTCTTATAAGGAAAGAGATGATAGGAAAAGTATTACAACTGTAGCAAAGTCATTTCTTAACACTACTACATATGTTGATTCACAAACGACATCAACAGTACAGAGAATCCTTGCTATCAAAAAAGACCCCACTAATCAAGAGGAATATCTATCATTGAAAGAAATTGGAGATAGTGTAACAGAATTACCAGGCAACAAAAGAGAACAAAACCACTTTGGTGAAAATATGGTTGGAGAGAAAACAGAACAAAATGAAAGTCGTGAAATAACAAAATATTCAACAACAACTGAAACATTACTTAGAAATGCTACAGCATCGACGAATTATGATGATTTCGAGAAAGGATTTGAAAATGCGCAAAATGATGGTAATTATAAGAATAATGATACAAATATTAAAAGTGCTTATGAGGATGTTGTAAATAGAGATGATGACGCTATTGGTGAAAATATTCATCAACATGATGATGTTGGTAATAGTGCAAAAGGTGATGATTCTAATATTAAAGCTATCATTGAAAATCCAAAGACTGAAGACAATAAAGACAAAACAGTCAGTGAAAATCAAAACCTCGACGGTGATGATGATGAAATAGGTAATACAAGAAAGAATAAGGAAATCATGGAAACTAAACATGACTATACAAAGAGAGAAACTATAAACAGATTTAATCTTGAAACTGAATACTATACAAATAATGACAATTCTAGTGTAACAAATGAAAATGCAGGGAAAGACATTACAGAAACGCAAAATGGGTTCAAAAACAGCGGCAATAATGGTTTACAAATTGATTTTGAAAATGCACCAACTGTGGATAGAGGTGCAAAGCATGAAAATCACAGCACAAAGAATAAGAAAGACAGTACAGATAAGGCAACGGGGGATATAAGTAATTCGATAAATAGAAAAGAAAAGATGAAGAATGTAAAACATACAGAGGGAAAATCAGTAGAAGAGAAAGGCAATAGAAATAGTAGAAGAACTAACAATAAAGCTGACACAAAGAGGAAAGGAAAAAAAGATGAACAACTGGGGGAAGATAAATCTCAGAAACATTTGAAAGATGTAAAAAAGCAAGACAGCAGTGACAAAGCAGTTAAAAATGTGCCAAATGTCAAAAAACACAATAGTAATAGAGATAAGCATCGAAATTCGAAAGAAAGTATAACGTATGGTAAAGATAAAGGGAGCAAATATATAAAATCAAAATACGTAAGTTTATATTAATCATATTGATCATTAGCATTTAAGTATTCAACGTTGAAATGTACATCGATCTTAGCATTTGTGTTGATATATTCACAAATTACAAATGAAACCTTTTCTAATACATAAGTAATTTGAAATATCCAAATTCAAGCTTTCCGGATAAAAAATATCTTCTTTTATGAAAACAGCACAAAGTTGACATGAATATGAAATCTGAACTCTTCAACACCCAGTGATAAAAATTATAACGTTATTTTAGTTATGCGTTTGAAGATGTGTTGATCTTTTTTATACATGCATATTAACTGTCAATGCAGTGGCTCAGTAACTTGAATAAAGTTTATATTCGACACAGATCAGATCTTTATGAAATGATAAAACTGGTATTGGTACTGAATTACAACAATTTTTCTTTGATCATTAACTAATTTGAAAATTATTACAACATAATAAAACGAAAAATATTCATATCACTTTTTAACAAACAATACAGAATATTAAGAAATATATAAAATAATTTTCTATTTACAGATTATGCACAAGTTGTTAAAAGATGATGGACCAAACCTGTCTGCTAAAGAACGAGCAAAACTAGTTTATGAACGGTGTAAGACATTTATGAACGAAAATAATGTGAAACTTGATGGTAAGACTAAACTAAGATATGACAATAAATCATTCATGTTAAGCCAACGGTACGATTTAATGATTTGCTTTAATTCTAAAGTTGCTTCGAATAATCTCAAACGCGTGAGTTACGCCTTAGACAAACAATTTAAAGATGACATTAATGATGTGAAGCGTCATGAGGCACGTGGTTATTGCCAATCACGCATGCGTGACATTAAGCAAGTGACGTCGGGAAAAACACGTACCAATTTTATGATGGTGAGAGAACCCCTTGAACGGTTGGTATCCGCGTACAGAGATGAAAGAGCATTTCCAGAAGGTAATATAGATTCGACAGTTACCTTTAAAGAATTCTTACAACAGCAATTACATGGACATGCTAAACAAAAGAACAGGCATATATACCCATATTTCGAAAGGTGCCGACCATGTGAGGTGAAATATGATTATATTGGTCTTCAGCATAATTTCGATACTGATGTAAAAACTGTCCTACAGAAGATTAAAGCTGGTGGAAAAGTTGGTATCCCAGCAAGGGAGAAAACTGGATATCATTCTGCTACAAGTGACAAGTTGGTAAAGGAATATTTTAGTAAAATTCCAAATAACATGATACATCAATTGTGGGAGAAATATTATAAAGATTATTACATATTTGGGTTTCCCTATCCAAAACACTTAATGAAATGATTAAAAACAGAGACTGACCGACTTGAAGGTTTGGAATATTTGAAACGAATTGTTGAAGACGCTGTACAGAAACATTTTAAGCAATAGGTGAAATGAAGATGATGAAGGTGTATCCTTAGTAATTTTATAATTTTATTTATATACAATACTCCATATTTTCAACATTTATATGTTTAATATACTCCATATTCCTGTGTTCAAAAAGAATCCCCACTAAATTATCATTAAACAATTCCATTCTAACTCATTATGATGAATGGAATTCAACAACACTAATGGTGGAATTGAAACACGCGAATTTGAAGATATAAATAGAACTATTGCGTGATTGCAGACGATATGAAATTCACGAATCTCCATTTAATTATGGTGAAATAGGTGAAATGTTTTGTTTTATTTATACCTGCATCTTTAACCAAAAGTGTCAGTTTCTTATAAAATAGTAAGCAGATGAGCGAAAAATGTATACTATAATTATACTTAGTATTTAGAAGACAACACGATCGTGATTATAACTAGTTTTTCTCAATGAAACTGTCAAATGTGCTCAGTGATATTTGTGTAATTAAGGAAAACATGGAAGATAAATGTCCAGATTTGTAAAAATTATTGTCTAAAAAAAGTAAACTTGTATTGATTAGATTTGCAACTGATATAAAAAAAAAACATACTGTCTGGAATTTGTGTTAATAAATGCCCATTTTTCAACTTCAAACATGTGTTATCTTATATGTTTACAAACATAGCCACAGCAATAGGAGGTGTCCAGAGAGCAGCAATAAACGTCAATATTAGTTGAAAATATTATGAACTTAATATTTGTACATCAACTTTCTCATTTCGTATTTGTATCCAATCGGAATGTTCAGTAACGTATAATAGTAATTCAGATATATACTCAAACGCAAAAGAAAATCTGCAAGTTCCGTTTTAGCATAACTATTATTATATTGGTCATAATCGTTTATAAATAAAATGGTCCGATGCACGTATGTCTTTCAAACAATGGGTATATCCCATCACGTTTTGCTTAAATTGTGAGTAACGCGTTAATAGTAACGTTTTGCACGATATGCCCGTGCTCTGTCTAGATAAATGTTAAACTTCTTATAAAATGTGTCAAAAAATACTTTCTTCAAAGTCATAAGACAAAACAAAGAAACAAAGAAACAAAGAAAAGAAAAAGAACAACAACAACAACAAAAAAATGCGGCGTCTTTTTGAATTTCAACGTCCTTATTTCATTCACAAGTTAAATCCATTAACACAGTTTGTGTTTTTTGTTTGTTTGTTTGTTCCCTACTATGTGTATTCGATGAATACGTCTTTGAAAAAAATCCAGATAAAGTGTTATTTTTTGGTGTAGGCGTTGACGATTGTTTCGGAAACGAAATGGTACCAAATCCGGAGATTTATGGATGAACATGGCTTTCGCAGTGTCCCTCCCTTACCTCTTTTTCCTTAAAAACAAGACGTATGGTAGTCTTCAAAATTACACCGAACAACAGAGAGCCCTTACAAACTGTTTCCACAAGAAACTAATAACACCTATTTGGACAACATGTTTGAAAAAGAAAAAATACGAAGATGCTTATGGCAATAGAAAGACTTCAGTCGCTAGTTTTCGGCCTTTTCCGCTCCGCTTCGGCAATCGAGACGGAAAAGGTCGAAAACTGGAAAATCTGACATTGATATGGGTAATGAGAAACGTCCCTAAAGGATCAGATATTTCTACGGGATAATTTTTATGTTGTCAGTTTTCATCATTTCATAATATGCTATCCTGTTATATTCAAAACCATTGCGGATGGTTCGCTCAATAATTTGAAAAGGAACTGATGATCAGTGTTTAAATGTTATTTTAAATATAGGTTATCTTGCTACGTAACAGGAAAGGAATTTCCAAATTTTTCAACAGGAATAAAATATTATCTCACGAAAATGGAGAATACAATTGAAAGGTAAGCTGATAAAAATTATTTCACTTATTAATTAGAGTATACATGTTTGATATTCATTTGCAGTAATGCTCAAGATTAAATAAATTCACAAATAAGTAAGGTACATTCATTAGGCCTAAACAATTGTTTTGGTAGGGTCACTCTACACTACCTAAAAATATGCCCTAACATACCATTTTTAGGGCTATCAAAAAAAAAAAATTGTTGCACTTCGTCCAAGATGTCATTTGAAGAGTTAGAAATGATGATCTTGTGTCATCCGGGGACATTATATTATTGAAGGTTTCAATGTCAATATCTGACAAGGGCCCATGGACGATTCTGAAGGAAGACAAGTTCCGGTACTTTAAATCTTTGAGAAATTTTTTGGTATCACCTATTCCAGAATAAGTTATAATTGAATAAATGAATGATCGAAACTGAAAGGAGTGTACCCCAAAAACAAAATATAAATATGATAATGTGACGAATTTTACATACCCCACCCATCAGTACTGTACAAAACAGGGCATGAAAACTATCAGATATTCAGAACTGAACATGATTTTTTTTAATCCGACCTACCCTACCTATTCCTGGAGAGCATGCTACCCTCACAACACTTTTTTAGGCCTTAACATACAGCTTTTTTGCCTGAACACTTATAATATTACCTGACTTCAACACGCATATGGTCAATAAAGCTACCTTTATGTATATCGGTCACATCATGGTAGGACAATGAAAAACAAAGTACAAAATGTATATATGTGAAAAAATCTTTCGAACATTTTACATTTTTTATTGTTTAAGAATAAGTAGACTTTTTACAAGAACCCATTTATGAAATATTTGAATAATGATATTCTTCAAATATAAACCTCGAAAAAGGGCATTCGTTTTATATCATATTACAGTACAGTATTGTGAGATATAAAATTTTATAAGAATTTATATACAATTTCTTAAGAGAATTTAATATTGCTTAGTGCTAATTGTCAGAGGTCGGCTTGTCTGTGATTCTATAAATGAATATTATAATATATATATTCAGTTTGTCTGTGTTTTGGAAAATATATTTGCCTGTTTTCTTAGTGTAAGAAGAAAGATGCAATGATCATATAAATGTATGATCTGCAATTAGTTGACGAAAAATCGGTCTAACATTTTCAAGTGTTTGATATAAACATTCAGATATGAAAAATCAATTCTACAACGTGGAGTTTATCTTTTAACATTGGTTAAAGTGTAGGATTATTTTATTTGAAAGATCTTATCACCAGCCCTGATAAATGAATATATAATAGTAGTGCAAACAGCAAATGATAGTTATAGACCGTTTGTGATCTTCTTTATCTGAGGACAACTAAACTCTTTCTTGTCAAATTGTAAAAAATAACCTTTTAAATAAATAAATGAACATAACTCTCTATAATTGATTTTCATTTATTAATTCTATAATATTGCAAAAGAAAATTGTTTCAGTATTAAGTAGTGAATTGGAAACTTTCTATAATTTCAGAATGCACCAAGATCCAGATTATTGTCGCTATATTTCAATGAAAATGTCAGCTGTGCTACATGACATTGGCATAAATGAAGAATCGATACAGAAAAGACGAAGTGCGAGGCTTAAAAGTGAATCTATGTTAAATGCAATAACGCTTTTGATCAATGATGATGCATCTATTTACATTTTTGGTAGTCAAAGTGAATGTTCAATACCACTATTAATGCAATCAGACGTAGATTATTTGTCATGTAATAACAAAATCAATTTAGTACAGACAAGTGGTCAGTGGAAGCCGAGAAAGTACAACATTCTAGTGATTCAAGACGATAGCACATCCCCTGGATACTGTCTTCTACAAGATCTGAATGAAACTTCTGATAAAGATTTTGAAACAATATTGTTTGAAAAAGAAATGAGAAAAATATTTGATTCGGAAGGTGCTTTTGAATTACGCGGGGAAAGAATGTTGATGAAAAATACATTTCTCACTAAACTTGATTTTAAAGGCTGTAGAAACGGACCAGCTTTAACGAGACCAGGAAATGGACGTAATCTTGATTTCGATTATGTCAAAGCTATGCATTGTACAGATTGGCCATTTGAAGCCAAATCATGGCTAAATAATCAAGGGAAAGGAAATTGGCCTAGCAAAGAGTTGAAGGAAAAATGCGAAACTACTGGCTTTTTTGTTGTGCCAGTTGCAAGTAAGAGTGGTCTGTACGAAGACCTTGAATGGAGATTATCTACTTCGCTTGCTGAGAGATTACTCATGTTCAGCTTAAACATTACACAAATGAGATGCTACGTCCTTATGAAATTAATTGTTAAAACATTTATAACTCCTGAATGCGGAGATGTCATTTCAAGTTTTATATGTAAAACCACATTATTTTTCTGTATATTTAAACAAGAAACATGCATCTGGAGAGAACAGAATTTGCTTTTATGTTTAAAGTATTGCCTTGAGGAATTGAAAGACTTTGTAATGCAGGAAAATTGTCCACATTTTATGATACATGGAAATAACCTACTAGCTGGAAAAGTCACGTCGTCAAACAAAAAAAGGATAGAAAACATTTTACATGAAATTATAAAAAGTAACGGCCAACAACTTTTAAAGATTTCTATTTGTGACTTCGGTTACTTGCTTCAGAAAATATGTAGTAAACCATATCCATTCATTCAAGGCGATTATCACCTTAGGAATAAGATTTTGTTTGGTACAGAAGTCATTATACAATATGGAGTAAATACAGTGTTACAATTCTGTATGTCCAGTTTTAATGGTAAATTACTTTTGACTAACTTTATAAATTCCCTTGTACAAAAATACGTGGACATCCATTCAAGCAAAGAATACAAAAAAGCAATCAGACTTTTAACACCAATAGTACGTGCATTTCTCGGAAGTATTATAGCTTCTGATGACATTCGTACTAACACCAAGATGTCTTCTACTGCGCTTGTCTGCCTACTGGGAGGATTTTCTTCTGATGCAGCATCTGGCAAACTTAAACTGGCATCAGCTTTACTCTCTGCTGATGAACTAATTGCAACGGAAGCTGTTCTGAATAATGTCATTGATATGTACCGTAACAACAGTGTTCATGAACAATGTTTATGCAAAAGGTTTTCAACAGAACTTAATACATACTTTAAACCAGGATTTATCAAACATCTAATCACTAAAAATGAAAAGAATTTCAGGAATGTAATAGCCCTTTGTGTAAGATATATGCCATGTGAATTTTACTGTATGCCAAAAGAAATACAATACGAAATTTTCCGTTCAAGTAAAAAAGAAAAGTTCAGAGACTTTAAACGTTTTGATGATTTTTTAATAGAACGTTTTGATGATTTTTTAATGGCCATGGGTGCCGTGGATTCTCTCCCATACCTCTATTTTCTTCAGTACAAGACGTATGGCAGTCTTCGTAATGTTACTGAACAACAGAAAGCACTGCGAAATCTTATCAACGTAATTAGGAGAGAACCATTTCTTTACCACAGAGAAACTGACTTTAATCTACTTGGACAATGTATGGAACAGGAAGAAAGATATGAAGATGCGTTTGTCTGTTACTTGAAATCTTTTAAAATAAGATCTGATAACAATGTAGTAAGAATACATATTTGTAAACTCCTTAATCGAATGATAAATAATTGATCTGAATATTTACAAATAACATAAATATATGTATATCTATGTACATACCTCGGAAGTATTATAGCCTTTGATGACATTCGTGATAACACCAAGATGTCTGCTACTGCACTTGTATGCTTACTGGGATGCAGCATCTTGCAAACTTAAACTGGTATTACTCTGTGCTGGTGGACTAACTGAAATGGACACTAGTTCTGAATAATACCATTGATATGTACCGTAACAACAGTGTTCATGAACAATGCTTATGCAGTAAAAAAATGTAGTTAATTGATAACTTTATTTGAAATAATGATTTTAAGATCAATGCCATTACTTCATCTGGTTTTTTTTCAGACAAAAGTGATGCTTGAATAAGGATAGTTTTTCTATCTACAAATGAGTTTAAAAGAAACATCGATGGTGTATTTCTTGTCAATGAGTTGGTGAATATTTCACTAATGTGACCGTTTTGTTGTCATTGCGAGCAAATTTATGCATCTCAACAAGGTCGTCATTTTCAGTTTTAAATTTAATCTTAAGCTGATGAAACTTGTTGCCAAACCTGTTGATATTTTTTCTATGTTTTGCATGTATCTTGATGCAATAAAATATGGTTAAACTAAAAAAACACTATTTTGTTTGTTTGTTTGTTGGGATTTACTTTTACAGTTTGACTTGCTGAACCAGTAAAATGCAAATCATTTTAGAGTTTAATCTAAGTAATTCCGCAAAACCTTTTAAAAACTATATTTAAATATGTCTATGTGCAAGACAAAGGTAAACTAAATACTAGTATAAATTATGTCATTCGAAGAAGTAAACATAACCAACTAGATAAAACTCTCAGTTTGTGAGGTTTAAACATAGGGAATTTTCGGACCGGACGCTTCTTATTATATCCATCATTGAAATAAGTTTCTGCTTGACGGTTCATCAATGTTAACGATCGCTTTATTCAGTCTATATCCGATATCCTAAAAACTAAACATTTTTGTATAAATATAAAATATTTAAATGCAGAAACACAGGCATTTAAATTCGAGGAACATGTTTCATTCGTTTCAGAATCAGTTAAACGTATCCATCTACTTGCTCATTACCGCTGTAGGTTTGAATCCTGCCATGGACTTGGATTTCATGTTAGAAAGCTGTCAATGCAGTGGTTCTTCGTGCATGGAGCGGCACCAGGCCCCGTGTTCCAGGATCAGGATCAGATGATCCTGAATTTATTTTGATTGTTTTATAAAACTAAAATTAAATGGAGAATCGTAGAATTAAATGGTACATATTCGAAATACGAATAATTGCTTATTTGCAAAGAATCCAACCTATTTTGGGATAAATTCAACAAATAACAAAACAAATACAAAAATAATCGGATGAAAATGAGGATCAAATTAAGGATCAAAATCAAAATTTTTATCAACTGTGAAATGTCCATAGCTTGTAAAAATAAAAATAAATTTATTCTAAAATTTCATAAACATGCTATTTCAAGTCAGTTTTATCAAGGTAATACTGAATATTTAATTTATGAGGATAAATAGTGGAGAATACTTGAGTTTTTAAATTTGATCCTGGTCTTGATCCTGATCCTTAGATCTTTGTGAACATGGGGCCTGCATGAGGTCTTCCTCCAATAGTAAAGCTGTAAGGTCACTATATGCCCTTGCTTTGTCGGTGTTACGTTTTAATGTCTAAAGATTAAGTAGGTTTTGCATGTCCTTATTAGAAGTTTTAAAACTTATTAGGAGAAATAAAAACATACAATGTAACTAGAAGTAAGGTTTTATTTCTTTTAAGTATAAGTTAATCCCTTATAAGTTGTATCAGGGAGTAACGAAGTTCTAATAAGGTTTTTATTATTTCCTAATTAGGACTATCAATTTATACCCCTAAATAGCGCCTAAACATCAGCAACAAAGTGTCCTAATTAGACTTTTGAAACTCCTTATTACGACTCGAGTTTCGCTTTTGTACCAAAATACTTTTGTAGACGCTGTTATTTTATTAGAGATTTTCGACCATGCGACCACATACACGCATCGAGGTCATGTTATAAGGACAGTGAATGTGCGACCACATACACGCATCACAGGATTCTTACGAGAAGGGGACAAAGAATGAAAGAGGGGCTAATTTTTACGGATACATGTTGGTTTATATACAACAAGTAACGCAAACCAAGCGGGGTCAGTTTTCGCCCTTTTAAGTTTAAGATCATATATAATTTCTATGGAAATTTTGAGTTTTCATTTTTTTCTACTTTCATTCTTTGTTTATATTAATAGAATTATTTTATTTTTGAAAAATATGAACGTTTCAATAACGTTTTATTTGCATTAAATATCAGACATATATTTCACATGTTATTTACCCGTAAAATTTCTATACTAGAAAAGGGTAATGTGATGGGCTGCAAGAAAAAAATAACTTGAGCAGCCAACAATTTTGACACTGGTAAGACAGTACAAACCATATTTTATTCATTCATATATACTTATGACAACAGGCAACATGACGCGGTAGGGAGAATGCTGCATTTTCTTAGATCTTGATTGGCAAGTCTGTGCTGCCTTATGTTCAATAATAAAGGTCCTCCTGTAATTTTGTTTTCACAAAAAAATTCCCCGCATTACAGTCCTTGTACATAGCATTTTAGACATTTGCTGGCAGGTAAACTACAAGGCATCGGGGGTATCTATAGATTACCGGTATCTATACATCAGTCGATTGTAACACCGGCTCACAACCCGGAACAGTGCGGGGAAAAGAATGTTAAATGAGCTACCCAGCTGATCTGCCAGATAAACGCTGTTTTATCGTTACCGGGCCAAAAGTGGCGGGAAATTTATTGGGGTATAAGCGGATATTAAATGGTCAGACGGGAATTCGAAAAGGTTACAACTGATTTGTGAACTAGAACGGAGTTGACCGTTCCATGGCATATAGTTACGGTTTTGCAGTTGAGATTGTGCAGTTTTAAATTAAGTCCAACAGTAAACAGTTTTATACCTTCAAAAATATTAATAGCATGTGTTAGTCTTGATTAAAGCGACTCCACAGGCTGGACTCCAATTAGGTTTTTTTTTACATTTATATTTATATATTTTTTGTGTGTATCATTTCATGGAGGTCTGGCCCAATAACTTGGGCGCACAATTTCAAAACATTCTTTCTCTCGGAATGTCCGTTTTTCTTTTCGGAATATCCATTTAATTTCTGTAGAAAGACCACAAATGAAAAGCATTTAAACGCGTTTAACTCAAATCGGGCTAAGAATCGTATAGAAAGTCGATTTTCAATTTAAATTTTAGTGTATTTCTGTATCATCATTTGCGTAATTACCGTTTTAATTGAGTGTCCAAGATATTTTTGAGTCTTATTTGTATTATTATTATTAGTATTTTGCTTTTTGACCTCAGTGGAGCTCCTTTAAAGTGGACTGGTCCATCATGGAAGGAATAATTATTTTTATAGTATCTTATGCAACAAAAAACCATAAGAGATTTATACTTTAATGTTGTTGGTAAGTGTGAGATACATGACTCGACGTTTCATCAATTTAGAGCTGAAAATAAATTGTTCTTGAACAAAATATTATTATTTATCATACAAATGTTCATCAACCTTTCAACTTTTATTTTCTAAGAAATATTTTTTTAAGAATGTGTAAATGATACAATTCTATTTTTATTGATATTGAAATACTTATGGAAATATTCCCATTGCAGACCAATTACATAAAATTTTTCTTGAAAAAATATTAATATTGATTAATATTGATAAGTTTGTCTTATTAATTAAACCATAAAGAATCTTGAAGCTTCCCGTTAAGATCAATACATGTGCATGTGTTATTATGGCTCAAGTTTACACCAAAACAGATTATGATCAAAATATTTTAAGAAATGATCATAAATTTTTATTACTTTGATAACCTTCACTATTAAATTTACTGATATTATATCAGATGAAGCTATTCACACAATTATCCGCCGAAGGCTCAAAACTATCAGTCTACGGGGATAAGTGTAGATCTTAAATCAATGTTGATATCAAATTTTGATCACATTATGTGATGTAAAAACCAGTAGTTTTCCAAATCACAGAGAACGGTATAGATTCCACAAAGTTTTCGCATTTCTTTGATGGATAAAATAATCATAATGATAATAGTAGCCATTTCTGCCCAGAGTATCAAAACAACGAACGATGGGTTCAACATCGTTGTTCGTATAAAACGCAACCTCCTGGCGTAATCCATGATCTAACGTTATAACATCCCTTTTATGTTAACAATATTTTACTTCTATAAATACAGTTTCACTTTTTTACGCAAATTAGCATGAATCTGGAGGAATGTTGTTCTAGTCAGCGTCATTTTAAAAGTGACTGTGCCCGCACCTCTTATGATTTAAAATCCCTCCACCCCCTCTCCAACAAACACCCCTGCCGTTTTCATTAGAAGGTGTTACTACCGCATGTTTTATATCAATGTTTCGCCTAGAAGATTGAACATAATAAACAATTAATCAGCAGTTTCTTCATCTCCACCCTAACTCTAAGGAACAACAACAATTAATGCTCGTAAGTTATAAAAGCTCTAATTAATATGTTATATAGATTTCTGGTTCATTCTACTTTTCAAATTATACCCGAGATCAAAATTTATATTTACCGACATTTAAATTATTGAAAGATAATAAATTAAAATGAATACAAATGTAGAATTTATGGAAAATATTTTAATTTTAACATGGGTCTAATCAAATCAAAAAGACCGCGCGCACTGCGATTTGTGCATAACAGCTGTCGACCTAAGATGACCCCGGTAAAATGACGTCATCGCGCATGCGCTCAATCAATTTTAAATACTTAGTCGCCGCACTGTATTCTGCTGAGATCGACTATCATTGAACGAGGTTCTTTTGTTTCAAAATGGCAGAAATCGAGGTGGAACGGGCATCAGGAAGCGCTAATGTAAGTATTCTTTTCTTGTTTCACTTTTCTGTAAGTTTTATTTGAAATTATTCACGATTTATATACGTTTACCTCGAAAAATATTTTACGTTTTTTGTCTTGAAATTTTCTAAGTCCAAGATGGCCGCTAAAAATGGCTAAGTCCCACGCCGCCGCTAAAAATATGCCCTTTTAGAATTCAATTTTCTATGTTGTGGGTGGATAATTTTTGTTGATATTTTGAATATATATTGTTTGTAACACAGATAATTGATTCTGTTTTTCAGGGTGCCGGTGATAGTATGGATTCGACAGAATCTGGTAAGAAATATGGCCTACTTTTGTTTGTGAAGGATCCACACTTAGAAAATTTCAGTCATATTATGAGCAAAATTTACATGTTTTTTTTTCAACAACTGATAAAGTGTTTAATAGTTTTACATTGTGGAGAAGAAAATGTATTGGAAATACATGTAACACATTGATAATTTTTTTATATTTTTTTAATTGATTTTAAATCAATGACAATGAAGTTAAATATTTTGAAAATTTGAATGTCAAAGAAGAAAAATATTTTTAAGAAGCAATATTAAGAGTTGAAATGTGTCACATAGTTTCATTATTTGTTAAAGTCATGTCAGATCTTAATCTCTTTCATTTACATAAAATTTATTAAGCTTTCTTTTGTTAGAATTGAGTAGTAAATTTATTAATCTTTAGCTGTTATTAGTTGGCAACAACTGAACCAGTGCAGGTCCAGATCAGCTGGCACATCTGTGCCACATGATCATGTTGTTCTTTACTGTTTTGTCACTTAATTCTAGAAAGTTTTCCATATCAAAGATAAATGGCCTAGTCCGTTTTTAGAGACACGCAAGTCCATTAAAGGTACTTCGGTTGGTAAATGTTAATAAAATGGCAAGCTCTGGAATGGAACCCTATGTCTATATTTTTTAAAGTAATATATATACTATTAGTATGTGATGAGTCAAATATATATACTGGTTCAGATCCCAGGGTCAAATCCAGGATTGTGCAAGTTGATTTCTACTCAAATTCTAGTAAAAAATAAAATGATTTGAAACTCCACTCGCATGATTTTAGAGCATAATAGGATTAGGAAGTCTCATAATGAAAGCCTGGTGCTGAATTTAAATGGGATGAAATACAGCTATGTTATGACATTTGCACCCAGATAATGCACATAATATTCAAGATGACTAAACAAATTATGATTTTCGTCATTTTTGATCAGTATAAGTTTCAGTGTCTTTAATTCGATGGCAATATATTTTTATTTTTTTCTTAATACTGATTTTTTTTTTAGAAAAATAACTTTTACATGATAACTTGAAGTGGTGATCATGAAAAGAACAACTTAAATATTTTAAATATAGATTAGTGTATTCTTTTATATGGTTCCTTATTATTTCATAAAGAAATCATAGTTTTGTTTTAAGGAATGAGTGGAGTCATTTTCATCAATTTAGGAACATAATTTTTACTTGAAATGGTGATCATGTAGTCTGTAGAGAACAACTTGAGTATTCTAAATTTAGTGCTGTTTTATATGTTTCCCTTTTATTTCATAAAAAAATTTTGTTTTAAGGAATGAATGGAGACATTTTAAACCATATTGACCAGAACAAGCAAAACGGTTACCCTGAGAGTGGAAATGAGGGGCAGGCCAAGGAAGAGTCAAGTAAATCTAAAGATCACAGAGACAAAGATCGCGAGAAGTCCAAACACAGCTCAAGCTCTGACAAACATAAATCAAGCTCGTCCGGTAGTGCCGACAAACACAAGCATAGTTCGAGCTCCAGCAGCTCTAAGCATCACTCATCATCGTCAAGCTCAAGTAAGCACAGGGACGGGCATTCAAGCAGCTCTCATAAACATGGTAGTTCGAGCTCAAGTTCTAAGCACAGAGATGGTCACAGTTCAAGCAAAGACAAGCACAGTTCTAGTAGTAGTCACAGTAGTAGTAAGGATAAAGATAGGCATGGCTCTTCTGATAAGAGCAAACATAGTTCAAGCTCGAGCAGTAAACACTCCTCATCGGACAAACATCGTGATAAAGATCGAGAACATAAAAGCAAAAGTTCAAGTGGAGATAGCAGTTCCAAGAGTAGTTCGGATTCAAAGAGCAAAAAAGAGAATGTTGATGTTGACAAGGAAAAGGAACGCCAAGAGCGAAAAGAAAAAGAGAGACAAGAACGAAAAGAAAAGGAAAGACAAGAGAGGAAAGAGAAAGAAAGGCAGGAAAGAAAAGAAAGAGAAAGGCAAGAAAGGAAAGAGAAAGAGCGATTAGAACGTGAGCAAAATGAGGAAAGTGTTGAAGTAAAAAGCGAACCAGTGTCACCAGTGAAAAGTGAGTCTCGTTCTCCAAGGAAGGCAAGTCCAACAAAATCTATGAAAGAAGAGCCAGAAAGTGATGAGGATGACATTCCATTGGTAAGAAGGTTTTTCGATTTTAGTGAAGAGATAATTAAATCATCACAACAAGTTTTAACCCTGAATTTCATTGATAGACTTGTCCAGCTTCAATTTTTGGAACTGCCTAACTTTGTATAGGGTAATCAAGATGAAATTTATAAAGGAGTTAAATGAGCCAACAGTATCATATTGAGCCTGGTCAGACTGCACAGATGTGCAAGCTGGCCTAGTTCTATATTGTCAAGATTTAACACTTTTGGGTCTATCAAATAAGGTTTGTGTTTCATTTTAAGAATCTCTGCCAGTATTATTTGAACTTGGTGAGAAAGATTTATTTTTATCAAGGATGGTTGAAATAGAAATTCATTATTTAAATCACTCTGTATGAAATATGTTGATATTTTCAGTCTGTAAGACTAAAGCAGGAACAGGTTGAGAAGCCTATCAAACGGGAGAGAGAAGATTCTGATGATGATGATGTCCCATTATCAGCAAGGTAATGTGATGCTTTAAAAGCATATAACTATAATTAAAAAGTTTCTTGTTGTGTTAAATTTCAAAATATGTACAGACTGAATAGCAAACTGTGCTGGTCATGGTCAGCTGATATATTCTGTATACCAAGTAAGTGAAATAAAAAATGAAAAAAGAAAAATCTTAATAATATAATAATATATAATGTTAAGTAATATATTAATAAATATCTAGTTCAAAATGTGTTCAGCAATAGAATGTCGATAATATCAAGTGCAGGAAAGTTTTTTTCTTAAGTGAACACAGAAAAGTTAAGAATTTTTTTCCGCCTTTAGGATGGAACAAGTGAAAAAAGTCAAGAAAGAAAAGAAGGAATCGCCACCATCTGGTAAAAAACGTAAAGCTGAAGAATCTGATGATGAGAAACCTTTGGTAAGATGTTAAATACTTGCATTAATTCTGTGCCAATGAAAACTGTTTATGACTGGAAAGAGATGATTTTTTCTAGTGTTGTGAATTTGATTTGCAAAGAGCTGTGTTGTTGATCTGTAATGGTTTAATTTGAGATGATTACCAACAAGTTTTGTAAACAGATCTTTTTAAAGGCACATTATGTCTCAGAAACAAATAAATTTTTAGTTCTTAAGAAAGGGACAACCTGAGTCTGATAATGTTTTAGAAATAGTTTTGAAGTATGTTAGATGCTTGTTATATGAAAAAAGTAGTGCTAAATGTGAAATTATTTGTTTTTAAGTAATGAAATGTAAACAAAGTAGTATTTTATATACAAAATCACTATAACTACTAATTACCAAGCTTTTGAGAAAAAAAAGCATTTCGGAGGCACAATCAACATTTAATTCCTGTAGTATATTTTTTCTGACCATTAGTGATGCATAGATCTTAAGAATTCAGAATGTTTTTGGATGTGGTTACATATCATGAGATAAATACTAACTTTGTTTCCTTAATCAATTTTTTATTTTCATTATTTAGAAAAAGAAGAAGAAAGCGAAGCAGCCAGTTAAACAAGAAACAACTTCACCGACGAAGAAGAAGGGTAAAGGAGCACAGCAGGAGGGTCAGGAAGTATGGAAATGGTGGGAGGAGGAGAAAGGGGACAGTGATGAGAAATGGAGGTTTCTCGAACATAAAGGACCTGTCTTTGCTCCCTTGTATGAGCGCATGCCAAAAGATGTCAAGTTTTACTATAATGGTAAGATTTTTTTCTGCATGGTGAAAACCTAACATTTTTTGAAGCAAAATAGTTATTAGTCCCCTACCGGTTTACCGGAGGGGACTTTAGGTTTACCCTCCGTCTGTCCGTCCGTCTGTCTGTCAGTCCGTCAGTCCGTCCGTCCACAAAACTGGATCCCGCGATAACTTGAAAAGTACTGAAAATATTTTTATGAAACTTGGTATATGGATAGATGGCAGTATGGAGATTATGCACGTCTTTTTCTTTTCTTCCTATGTTGAAAATTCTGGTTGCTATGGCAACAAATAGGCTGAAAATATGGCAAATTTTACACATAAACTGGATCCAGTGATAACGCAAAAAGTACTGGAAATATTTTTATGAAACTTGACATATGGGTAGATGGCAGTCTTGGGATTATGCACGTCTTTTTCTTTTCTTCCTATGTTGAAAATTCTGGTTGCTCTGGCAACAAATAGGCTTCGGGGACTTTAGGTTTACCCTCCGTCCGTCTGTCCGTCCGTCTGTCAGTCCGTCAGTCCGTCCGTCCACAAAACTGGATCCCGCGATAACTTGAAAAGTACTGAAAATATTTTTATGAAACTTGGTATATGGATAGATGGCAGTATGGAGATTATGCACGTCTTTTTCTTTTCTTCCTATGTTGAAAATTCTGGTTGCTATGGCAACAAATAGGCTGAAAATATGGCAAATTTTACACATAAACTGGATCCAGTGATAACGCAAAAAGTACTGGAAATATTTTTATGAAACTTGACATATGGGTAGATGGCAGTCTTGAGATTATGCATGTCTTTTTCTTTTCTTCCTATGTTGAAAATTCTGGTTGCTATGGCAACAAATAGGCTGAAAATATGGCAAATTTTACACATAAACTGGATCCAGTGATAAAGCAAAAAGTACTGGAAATATTTTTATGAAACTTGACATATGGGTAGATGGCAGTCTTGAGATTATGCACGTCTTTTTCTTTTCTTCCTATGTTGAAAATTCTGGTTGCTATGGCAACAAATAGGCTGAAAATATGGCAAATTTTACACATAAAATGGATCCAGTGATAAAGCAAAAAGTACTGGAAATATTTTTATGAAACTTGACATATGGGTAGATGGCAGTCTTGGGATTATGCACGTCTTTTTCTTTTCTTCCTATGTTGAAAATTCTGGTTGCTATGGCAACAAATAGGCTGAAAATATGGCAAATTTTACACATAAACTGGATCCAGTGATAAAGCAAAAAGTACTGGAAATATTTTTATGAAACTTGACATATGGGTAGATAGCAGTATCTCCTCTTATCTGTTCTTCCTATTTTGAAAAAATATCAGTTGCCTTGGCAACAAATAGGCTTAAAACATGGCAAATATAACAATATTTGTGATTAGTCAAAAAGAGCTGAAAATTTTTATGAAATTGCATCTTTAATTCAAGAGTTATCTCCTCTTTAAGAATTTTGCTTTTAAAATGTTATATTTTGGTAACAGGGATGTTTCAAATATTAACTTTAGAGTGTCCTTCAGTCCGTCTGTCTGTCTGTTCATAAAAACTGTTTCCTGTGATCACTTTTAAAGAACTTTTCCAACAAGTTTACTTAAAATAGAGAAAATTGAAACATTAGTGAATGGCCAATGGCCCTTCAGAATGTTGATGGGGTTCTTACCGGTAGGGGACTTATGGATTGCTTGCAATACTATGATAATTGCTTGTTTTTTTACGTTTCATAGATCCAATGTTCAGATCTGTTTGGAATTTTGATTGGATCGGTCTGTGATTTTATTGGAGAGGTCTTGAAAATGGAACTATCCCCATATTAAACACTTGTTTGAATAGCGTAGTTTGTAAATCATTGCAATACTGTTGTGGATGGTTGTTTCAGGTGAACCAATGTTACTATCAGAGGAAGCAGAAGAAGTGGCAACGTTCTATGCGAAGATGTTGGAACATGACTATACTTCTAAGGAAGTTTTCAACACTAATTTCTTCAAGGATTGGAGAAAGGTAAACTCTTTAATTCATGATCTTTGTTTTCTGAAATATTATTCTGTATTTCTTAATAAAACTGCTTATTTTAGAGTTCTTTTTCATTTATTATAGACTTCAAAGTTAAACTTTATCATGTTCTGGTCAAATAACTGGTCAATTAAATGACTTTGATATTGAAATTTGGCAATCTTGTTCAAAAATTTCTAAATTCAACGTTGACTACAGAATTTCAGCAGCTAAAATGTTGAATGTTCAAAAAGGCTATGAATCTGTTTCTCACAAAAGACTAGATTAACCTATACCACACTTACTGTATTAAATGTTTTTGTTTCTCTAAAATTCTGGACAAAATCATTGTAAGTTTTAAGGAAAAAATCAAAATAAGTACTGACTGAAAAGCCAACAGTGCTAACCAAGATCTGACATCACAGATGAGCTGGCTGATCTAGATGTGCACTGGTGACATAGGTATATTCAATTGCCACCAGCAGGCAGGGGATTAAACTCTATATTTACAATGATGTGTAGGTGATGACAACAGAGGAACGTGAGAAGTTAAAAGATTTAAAAAAATGTAACTTCCGAGAGATGTGCGAGTATTTCAAAGAGGAGTCTGAGAAAAGGAAAAACAGGAGCAAAGAAGAAAAACTGGTAAGAATAATTTGTAAGATATTCTGTGAGAAAAATTGTATGGTTTTTTGTTTTTAATAGAAAATCTAGTCAGCTTAACGTGATTTATAACCTGTGAACTATTTGGTTCTGGTTGTAAGTCAGGAGAAAAAAGTCAGGAGAATGGACGGTTAAACCACAATTGGTTGTTCATTTACAAAATTTAAAAGACATGTTAGATAATGTAGTAATATGTGATTAATCAGGAACACAATATTTGTTTTACATTTAGTTCTTTTTGATAAGTTCTCTTGATAAATGGTTTCATATTTCATATCTATTGTATATAACATGTGAAATTTAATATTTTTTTTTCTTGTGCTTAGAAATTGAAAGAAGAGAATGCTCGTATGCAAGAAGAGTATGGATTTTGCACCATGGACGGTCACAAGGAAAAGATTGGAAACTTCAGGATTGAACCCCCTGGTCTGTTCAGAGGTAGAGGTGATCATCCTAAACAGGGAATGTTGAAGAGAAGAGTACAACCCGAGGATGTTATAATAAATTGCAGCAAGTATGTACATATTGTGATAAGATAATTCCATGAAAATAATTTGTAAGAAGTTTGCATGAAAACAAACATTAATTGTTTTATAGGTCCTTCTCAAGTTTCTCATTAGATAACGTGTAAGGTACATATTAGTAAGTAAAGTGTAGAGTAGACAGACTATGGATTAAAGATGGCTTATGTTCTTACACTCTATATATGGTTGAAGATGATAATTATCAGGGCTTCAATCAAATTCAAAAATTTGGAAGTCAGAGACTGAAAATGTCTGACATTGGAAGTCACATTATATAGGCAAAGAAATAAAAGCATTATATTTTGAAAGTCACAAGCCGAAATCCAGAGTAAATGAATCAAACTTGCACTGATAGATGCCCTGTATTTATGTTTAACTGCAGTAACTCATTTACGCTAATCACTTACAGGACAATAACAAAACGTTCATTTCTTTAACAAGACAGTGATTTTCCCACTCATATAACAGACTCCGAAAAAAGGCCTCTTCCCAATTGAAATTTTCTTTGAAATCATGCAGTTTTCCCAAAAATCTGAACTCAAATCAGCTTTTTTACTTCCCAAATCAGCAATTTTAGCAATAATTTTTCCCAAAATCAAGAGGCTAAGGCCTCTTCCCACTTAGCTTCTTCCCAATAAAGTAAGAAAAATCACTGCAATATAAAGTAGTTGGTCTGATAATCATTTTGAGAAGTAAGCCGTGGTTCTACAGAAAAAGTAACTTATATTTTTATAGAGAAGCATAATTGTTGTATCTGCCTGTCTGACCATAGCTGAATTTTGTGAGAAACATGTTCTAAAACCATCCTAATTTTAAACATCATCTACTGTTTAGGGACTCGAAAATTCCAGAACCACCAAAGGGACATAAGTGGAAGAGAGTACAGTTTGATAATAAGGTATGATTAGTTGATGTAGTACAGGGCCAGTCAAGGCCCAATTATTATGATACTTTGAATTGCAAAGGATTGATTGTAATACTAGTAGGTGTAAATCAATGAATGTATTGAGTGTATAGTTATAGTAGGTTTGAATTAAGCCATGGGTATGATTAAAACCCTAACAGCTTTGATATTGTCATATAACAATGAGGGTGTAATTCTAAATGAAAAACAAACGAAATAGCTACTTTTCGCTTTTTGAATGCAATCAAGTTCATTGAATGCTGTCTGCTGGGTTTGATTGAATCTCTCAATGTAGTTGACCTAAAATAACATATTGTTTCTTTCCCTTCGCGCTACCTACACAAAAAATCACTGCTACCGAAAAAATATGTTCATTAAAAAAAATATTTTTTGGATATAAAATTTACATTTTCCACTGTCATTTTGAAGGTAACATGGTTAGCAAGTTGGAATGAGAATATTCAGAACCAGATAAAATATGTGATGTTGAACGCCTCGTCCAGATTGAAAGGAGAAAAGGACTGGCAGAAATACGAGACTGCCCGACGACTTCACAAGTGCGTAGACAAGATTCGAGCCAACTACCAGGAAGACTGGAAGTCCAAGGAGATGAGAATAAGACAAAGAGCTGTAGCTATGTACTTCATTGATAAAGTAAGTCCAGAAACCCAAGTACACTCAGTTTTTAATAAGTTTGGTAATCTTGATTTATTCGATTAAAGATGAGCAATTACCATGAACATGTATCTTTTTAAAGGAATACGCAAATGTTTTGTTGTACGACAAATAATTTCTTATTTCACATAAAAGTCACCTAGAGAAAATTTTTGAGGTTAGGAAATTGCCTCACTCTCTGGGTATTTTTTGACATGAACAAGATTGTTAAGAATGTAAAGAGTGAATCTCGATTAAATGCCAAGTTAGACTTTAATTATAATTTTTGTTGGAGATTTTGTATGAGAAAATTGTTTTCCAAATAGTGTAAATTATCTGTCGTACTTTTAGCTTGCATTGAGAGCTGGTAACGAGAAGGAAGAAGGAGAGACTGCGGACACCGTGGGTTGCTGTTCCCTCCGAGTAGAACATATAACACTTCATATAGAGAAAGACGGCAAACAAAACGTCGTTGAGTTCGATTTCCTCGGTAAAGATTCTATACGATACCAGAATGCCGTGCCAGTAGAGAAACGGGTCTTCAAAAATCTACAGATGTTCATGGACAACAAACAGCCAGGAGATGATCTCTTTGACAGACTTAATGTAAGTACCAGAACAATTCTCATAATACATGTATATAGTATTATTCACAGTGAATGGTATTTCTCTGTGATGATTGATCTTAAACATCGAGTCATATGGTTATTTGTCTCTAACAGCTGATTCATATACCATGTAGGGTTGGTAGTTGGTGACTTGCAGAGGAATTGGTAATTTCTAGTTTGTTAACAAGGTGGATTGACCACTGAGATATGGACTAAATGTGTTAAAAGCAATGCAAAAACAAACAAGTACTAACTCCAAATTAAATCATATGTTATGTAATAAATTACATCATGCCACTTTCTTCTACCCACCAGTTGGAAGGATACCTTTGTAATGTCAGTATGTTGTGATACTTGCCAAATATTGAAGGTAGAAATTGATGCCATTTCTCTCTCTCTGTGATTTACAGACCAGTATCTTGAACAAACATTTACATGACCTTATGGAGGGCCTCACAGCAAAGGTGTTCCGTACTTACAATGCCTCGAAAACTTTACAAGAACAGCTTGATCTCATGACTAATGGTAAGTTTTACCCTTTATATTGTGTTTTACCCTTTATATTGCTTACATCAATGATAAAATTGTCCTAGTATACCCTTTGAAGGCAAATTGCAATTATAAATCCATCATTGAACCAGTAAAGAGAATGCTAGCAGTCTGACCTGACTATACTTTTAGCATGAATGAAAAATTGCCTTTTACCATTAGAAGATGAAATTTTCTTTCAAAGATAAGAATAAAAACAGTTAATTGACAGCAAAAATGCTAATAAAATCAGTCATTTCTTCTTGATTAGTTGTGCAAATTTAACATTTGAACCATTTCCTTGTTGAAGAGACTGAAAGTAAATTGTTTCTCAAAATCAGAATGAAAATGTAGAAAGTTTTGACATTAAAAATGTGTGTTTGTTTTGTTTTATCAGAGGAGGACCCTGTCCCAGCGAAAATGTTGTCTTACAACCGAGCTAACCGTGCTGTAGCTATTCTATGTAACCATCAACGTGCAGCTCCGAAAAACTTCAGTAAACAGATGGAAGAACATAATGGCTAAGGTGCGTAATGATATGTGAAACATTATTATTTATGGTATTTAATCTTAATTTAAAATATGAAGCAATTTACTCATGAAATTGTCTTCTTGACTTTCTACCCAGTTATTGGATCGAAATTCCCATTTGATAACATTGTTCCAAAGCTGGTTATTGTTGCAAATTGTTTAACCCTTATCTGCTGGAAAAAAGAAATTATTTAAGCCTTTGTCGCTAGTATAAAGCGAGGCTAGTCTGCGCATATGGGGGATATTTACGGCTTGATTTAGCTTTTGTGATGAAAAGAATTTTGTGATCAGCTCTCAGAGTCATGGTTTTGACTTGTCCATTGTTTAGGTAAAAGTTTAAATAAATATTGAAGGTAGGAAGTGATTAGTATTTTGCTTTTGTTAGATGCTACTAGTGGCAAAGCCAAAATGAAATGTCATTATTGTGACAACAACTTAAGGATCAGATTCTGATGTTGCATATTTTTCTTGCAGATTAAAGACAAAAGAGCTGTTGTAAAGGAGGCCAAGAAAGCATTGAAGGAAGCCAAAGCTGCATTTAAATCCCAGAAAAACCAAAAGAATAAACTGTAAGTTTTCTTGTTTAGTTTAACTCTTACCAACACTAGATATCTGAAATGGACTTATCCATCTTACAGTCTGAATCTTACAGTCTGAACACAACCATTTATCATTTTTAAAGAAAATTTAAAATATGTACTGACTGAATGGTGAACATTGCAGACCAAAATTATATCACATGGATGTAATAACATAATCATCTTTCATTCTAATGTATAGCCTTGTTTGATATTTGCCAACATTTACTACAAGTGGGTTGGACTATTTTTATGTATTGATCTATTTGCTATCTTTAATAACCCTGCAAGTTGAATATTTCATGTAGATCTAAAAATTGTGTATAATTCATTCATTTACACTTGGCCGGGAAAAAAGGTATTAGGAATTAAAAACTAGTTTTCTTTTAATGTAGGAACTGAAATTTAACATCCTTGCCTAGTATAGAGCCAGGTTCGCCTATACATATGTCCAGTCAGTATAGATTCTACCAGTGATTAAATATCTTGATTTTCCATCTAAATACTTACAAAATTAATAATGGACAGCTCTAAAAAAAATGGATGGCGCACAAGTGTTTAAGATTTGGTTATTAACCTTTATATAATTTTCTAGTATGTATGAGAAGAAGAAGAAAGCATATGAGAGATCAGAGGAACAGCTGACTAAGCTTGAAGTACAAGCAACGGACAAAGATGAGAACAAGGAAATTGCCCTCGGAACCTCCAAACTTAACTACCTTGATCCTAGAATCTCAGTGGCATGGTATGTTCAAATCTTTGTTTATATACATCATACATGTATGATTAATTATGTGTGTTGAACATACAATTTTTGTACAATGTTTTAAATATGATTATGTCTTTAAAATGCATATGCCTTTTGATTATTATGTTTCACAATGGCGTAAAATACGGTATTATAAATATTAAAAACCTATATGAATGATTGGTGTAAAATTTGTAATCACCTCTTTTGACAGGATGTTTTTGTACCTTTTATTTTTGGCGTTTTGCTATCTTTTAACAAAATGTAAATTTTATTCATGAATATTATTTTCATCATCAGGTGTAAAAAGTGGGAGGTGCCTATAGAGAAAGTATACAACAAGACTCAGAGGGACAAGTTCCGATGGGCCATCGACATGGCTGGTGCCGATTTCCGGTTTTAACGTTAGTGAATACTTAGGGATCGTTCATTTAACTCATTAGTTGTACATATTTATTCACGAAATGTCCATACTCATGTGATGAAATATATCTTTTAATGTAAAGACTTTGAATCCCTGTTTTTAGTCATATGATGTTCATTGTGTCGGTCAAAATCGCTGGCCGCAAAATGTATGTTCCAAATACAGATAATTCAAATTTGTTCATATTGTTTGCATTTTATTGTCAGAAATGATAAAATTGTGTTATTTTTTTCGTGTATCAAATCATGATGAAATGTGACTTTAATATCAGAATCATGTGCGTTTTTATTGTACATTTTATAATTTAATCATGACAAAAATTTCTTTTATACGATGTTTGAATGTAGTAATTGATGACACTGTAAGACAAACGTCTTTTATTCATGTGAGCTACATTTTTACTTCTCTGCAGAATTTATTTTATTTGTTAGGTTTATTTTTTTTTTGTCTTCTAAGTACGATAATTGATTTAGAGTAACACACATTGAAAGTCGTACCAGTAAGGTTCCTTTAAGATAATCAAATTTATTCAATTGTTACCGAAGTTCTTTCATTTATATATATATAAATATTATCTCAGAGTCTGACCAAGTTGGTATTGCTTGTAAATTCTAAATAGCTATTTAAACAGATAGTACATGTTAATTTATTAACTGGAGATTAAGTGTATTAAGTATAGGAATACTTTTACCAATATTGCTGTCATTTCATTAAATCCATATATATAGCTTTGCTTAAACAATTTTTTTCATCTGAATAACAGTGAAAACATTGACACCGAATCAGGAATATAAAATTGCATTGATTATACAAAGTTCATTATGATGGCTAATTCTGTTGGAATATACCAATTTACGTTTTATCCTTTCAAGCTCATTTTTCTTTTTACAGAAAGTATGAAATTTTACTAGACAAATTAAAGCACATTCCAAATAAAAGCCTTTAAGCTTTAGTGGAATGTTTCCATTAGATATATCCCAATAAATGACAGAATGTTGGAGATATGATATGTTTAATAATGTCTGCCTGTAAATCTAGGGGCCTATATATCCATGTTTTCTACACAGTCAAAGAAGAGTAGTTCCAATTGGTGTTGGGCTTTCTCACAATTTATGTTGGAAGTGTAATTGAAATGATGTATATGTAATAGTAAAAAATTATACTTTGGAATCGGCTTTGGATAAATTTTGTTTTTACAGTATATTACATAGATCTCAAAGTAAAGATGATTTTTTTTTGTTAGTATTCTTTTAGTATGGTAGAATTGCTAAGATATACAGGCAATTAATATTCATTAGTTTTTGCTCCACAAATATCCAGTATTAATGTTATATTCTATATTCATAAAAACTGTCTTTTCTTTTTAACTTTATAAATCATTGAGTTCACATATCCGTCCTTAACTTGACTATATTTCTAGTGATTAAACTCTCGTAATTTAATCATTTTAGCATACATTGTTTAGATAGCATTCCTTTCAATAGAATTTGTTTTCTTTTAGCTTTTTATTCATTAAAAAAAATGTCAGTTTTGCCAGTCTGTGTACCTAAAATATTGTTATTGCCAGTCTGCGAGAATAAATTTTGTATTGCCAGGTTAAGATTAAAATATTACCATTAACTTGGAATAAGCAAAGGAAAACAATTTTATGATAGGGTACCTAATGTTTTGGAAAACAATACTACTGTATTAATTCTCAAGAATTTGCATTATAAATATAGTTTAATATGTATGACTAGGGTAACACAAGACAGTTTTAATGGATAATGTTGCATTCAGTGTTATTGCGTGATATATGAAATATTTTCTTCAGGAATTGTATAGAATTTGTACATCGGAAAACATTGTGAATAAAACTTATAATTTATTCCCCAAAAAAAACCAGTATGAATGAATGATTTTATTTATGTTAAATGAGTTATTTATTATTTTCTCCGCATGAACATAGTATATGAGTCGCATGATCCCTTAACCCTTGACCTTTTATTATTTTAAGAATTTCCATCCTTAAAAAGTGAGTAGACTTGTTTTCCATGTTTGAGATATTGCTATATGATTTGGGTGATTATAGACTGCAGTTTCAAGATAACCTAGCCCTATTTTTGTTGCATACATACTGAATTTATACAGATTGCTGAAGTTTCATATTTTCTTAGCTACTGAAGTATGCTTTTAGTTCATTGGTTTCTATAAATAGAATTTCAATGTGATTGGTTTAAAAGGTCATGTGACTCGTATGCAAATGTGTCTATATTTATTTTGCTGCCAGAGTTGGCAATATATATCAACTGTGTACATTTTGTATTAACTACATTCAGCTGCCATTTTCTTTTGTAAATATGATTTTAAAATAAAATGTGTGTGTATAACAATGTACTTGAATTGAATGTAATGTGGAGATGAAATAAATGAATCTTCAAAAAACTTTTGTTAACTTGCTGAGTGTCATGAAATCCTTAACCTTTAAAATTGCAAGCATGATTTTTTAAAATGTAAATCAAATGCTTTTACTGTAAAAGTGATGTTTCATTCTCCCTCAAGGTATTATATGTGAAAGCAAATTTTGTTTGTTTCTGAGATTTATTTTTTCATTTTTAATAGAGATCTATGTACTCTTAATAATTAAAAGTTGTACATTTATAAGTGTAATGAATGTGAAATACCTAATTGGTACCAAGTATAAGTTAAATTGTGAAATGAAGATCCTCTTTGTGCATTTTATTTTGTGTGTGTACATACCAATATGTTTATTTTTGTGTCTTTATCATATGTTTTGAAATGTTGTTTTATGTTTCATAATCAATCACAATGTTGTTTGTAAGTTGTAATATCAGTTTGGAAAGGAAAAAAAATCTTTGGATTGGTAAAAACAGTGTCTTCCCCCCCCCCCCCCCCCATAAGATAATAAACCTTACGAGGACTGGACATTACTGGACATGAGATATTAAACCTTACCAGTACTGACCGTTAGATATTTAACCTTACCAGTACTGTTAAAGAAACTTAAAAAACAGTGCTACCAGTATAAGACTAGGCCAGCCAGCCAGTATGTTTGTATATTCTGACCAAGTCCTGCAGTGTTTGTTTGACAAACTTTGAATAATTCAGTAACAGTATCTCTAAACTTGAATAGTACTCAGATTTTGGAATAAAAATTTAACACAACAATGTAATTCAAAAGATCTATGGGTTTAGAATAGAAATGTAAATTTAATTTAATAAAAGCTAAGAAAACAATAAGAACAATATAACTTGAGATGGTCAACTCGTGTAAAAAGCTTTTATCTTGTTGAAAAGAAGATGAACTCTTCTAATACAAATCCTGCTATTTTCAACAAGATTCACATTTTCTTTACAAAAAAATTTAATAGGAATTTCTTGAATTTTAATTTCAAATTTATTTTTGGTACATGTGCATATATTTCAGATACACTTGCTAGACATGTATATTAATTATTTCTGAATTTTTCATATTTATTCAATTGATATTAACACAATATATGTTGTTTACATTTGATTGGCCAGTTGAAAGTCTATATTTGACAATAATGAATGAATTTTGAAATGAATATGAAGGGTATTGAAGGGGTTATGCTTGTAGCTTATTGAAAACTTTTGAATTGTAAATAATACAAATAAAATTTGTGAATTTTCGGAAACATTTCAAAAGAAACATATCAGAGTGATTGAGGACTGTAATGCGATGTTCAGAGATAGACTGGTAAACAAGATGTTCTAAATGAAACAATAATATATACATGTACATATTGTATTCATTTTTTTCTGTCATTACCTTTATAGGTTGGAAAAGATATTCTCAATTACGAATTTAAGACAAATGAACATTTTGTAATGAATATTTATTAACAATCTAATTTCACTTCTGAACAACTGGATAAAAAAAAAGGATCTATTAAACTATTTGTTGAATGCCGAGGTTTCAAGTGCTAATATTTCTATCATGTTTGCAATATTTTCAACATGTTTGCCAAGTCTTACAAAACATTGACTTCATGTACTCAGCGGATTTAAGGTAAAATGTATTTCATTTTTGTTTTTATGAAAAATGGCCTTCGTATATATTGTTGCGCTTATACTAATTAAAAGAATCAGGGATATGTCACAAGAATACACAGCTTTTTGACATTACATTACACCGTGTGTGTAGATTTTTTATTGACTCAACCCTGTCAGTGTAGTACATAAGAATCAATGATGATATTTTATAGTGAAATTTGTTTTTTAAATTGTAAATGATGATATATGTTCTTAACCGTTTATGTTATGGTTTGTTGAACATGTTGTGTCTTCAATGAAATTAAAAAAAATAATGAAAGAAAACAGAATATTGTTGTTACTTTTATCAAATGCCAACAAGTGTTTAGAGCGTGATTAGTTGCCACTGTTGTCATGTGATCACATAAGCTGATTAGTTGCAATTTCTCTCACTGAATGATGCATATGTAAACTTAACGGTTGCAATGGTTGTAGTTGATTGTCATTGGATCACCTAGGTTGATTGGTTGTAAATGCTGTAATCTGATCACCAAAACCGATTTATCGTGATTGCTTTCATTGGATCATCTAGGTTGATTGGTAGTGATAGCATTCTAGGATCACCTAGGTTCGTTGGTTGTGATTGCTGTCCTTGGAACACCTTAGTTGATTGGTTGTAAATGCTGTAATTTGATCAACAAAAATGATTGTGATTGCTGTCCTTGGATCACCTAAGTTGATTGGCTGTGATTGCTGTCTTTAGATCACCTTGGTTAATTGGTTGTGATTGCTGTCATTGGATCACCTAGGTTGGTTGGTTGTGAGTGTTGTCATTGGATCAACTAGGTTGATTGTTTGTGATTGCTGTCATTTGGTCACCTAAGTTGATTGGCTGTGATTGCTGTCTTTAGATCACCTTGGTTAATTGGTTGTGATTGCTGTCATTGGATCACCTAGGTTGGTCGGTTGTGAGTGTTGTCATTGGATCAACTAGGTTGGTTGTTTGTGATTGCTGTCATTTGGTCACCTAGGTAGATTGTTTGTAAATGCTGTAACTTAATAACCAAAACTGATTAGTTGTGAGTGTTGTCATTGGATCACCTAGGTTGGTTGATTGAAATTGCTGTAATTGGATCACCTTGGTTGTTTGGTTGCAATTCCTATCATTGTATCACCTAGGTTGATTGTTTGTAATTGATGTCATTGGATCACCTAGGTTGGTTAATTGAAATTGTTGCTATTGGATCACATGGGTTGATTGGTTGTGATCGCTGTCATTGGAACACCTTAGTTGATTGGTTGCGATTGCTGTCATTGGATCACCTAGGTTGGTTAATTGAAATTGCTGTTATTGGATCACCTTGGTTGATTGGTTGTGATTGCTGTCATTGGATCACTTGTTCGATTGGTTGTGATTACTGTCATTGAATCACCTAGGTTGATTGTAATTAATGTCATTGGATCACCAAGGTTGGTTGATTGAAATTGCTGTTATTGGATCACATGGGTTGATTGGTTGTGATAGCTGTCATTGGATCACCTTGGTTGATTGGTTGTGATTGCTGTCATTGGATCTCCTTGGTCGATTGGTTATGATTGCTGTCATTAGATCGCCTAGATTGATTGGTTGTAATTGATGTCATTGGACCACCAAGCTTGATTGATTGCGATTGCTGTCCTTGGATCACCTAGATTGATTGGTTGTGATTGATGTCATTGGATCACCTTGGTTGATTGGCGGTAATTGGTGTTGTTGGATCACCTAGGTTGATTGGTTGTGATTGCTGTCATTGGATCACCTTTGTTGGTTGATTGAAATTGCTGTTATTGGATCACCTTGGTTGATTGGTTGTGATTGCTGTCATTGGATCACCTTTGTTGGTTGATTGAAATTGCTGTTATTGGATCACCTTGGTTGATTGGTTGTGATTGCTGTCATTGGATCACCTTTGTTGGTTGATTGAAATTGCTGTTATTGGATCACCTTGGTTGATTGGTTGTGATTGCTGTCATTGGATCACCTTGGTCGATTGGTTGTGATTGCTGTCATTAGATCCCCTAGATTGATTGGTTGTTATTGTTGTCATTGGATCACAACAAGATTGATTGGGTTGTAATTGATGTCATTGGACCACCAAGCTTGATTGTGATAACAGTCATTGGATCACCTAGATTGATTGGTTGTGATTGCTGTCAATGGATCACCAAGTTGATTGGTTGTGATTGCTGTCATTGCATCATTTTGGTTGATTGGTTGTAATTTGATCACACCTAGATTGATTGGTTGTAATTGCTGTCATTGGACCACCAAGCTTGATTGATTGTGATTACAGTCATTTGATCACCTAGATTGATTGGTTGTGATTGCTGTCATTGGATCACCTTGGTTGTGATTGATGTCATTGTACCACCTTGGTTGGCTAATTGTAATTGCTGTCATTGTACCACCTAGGTTTATTGGTTGTAATTGCTGTTATTGGACCACCAAGGTTGATTGGTTGCGATTGTTGTCATTGAATCACCTTGGTTGATTGGTTATGATTGCATTTATTGGATCATTTTGCTTGACTAGTTGTGATCGTTGTCATTGGATCACTTAGATTGATTGGTTCTGATTGTTGTTGTTGGTTGTGTTTGCTGTCATTGGATCACAAAATGTTTATCTAAAAGTAATGTATAACCATGCATCACATATTTAAAAGGGATTCCCCCATCAATCGCAATTGTTAATATAGCGGAAAGCGTGGTAGCAGTCAAAATATTACATTACCTAACTGCCTTGAAGGTACATAGTAATCATGCAGAAAATAAAACCATGTAGCAAGTTTAAAGTCCATATATATGCGATGATAATCCAGTATTTTCACCACTTGCATTAGTTTGCAAAAATATATCAATTGCAATTTATTAGATGTAAATGTGTAAATATTTCAAATTGGAATTGAGACATATTTCTTAATTGCTGTAATGATTGCGTATGCAAATGAAAAATACACACGAACGCTCACGCATAGAATCCTAGATCAACCGTAGTAGATCTAATCTTGACCCCAACCACCTTACACACATGATTCAATTGATGAGTTTTTTTGCAATGAGTTGACCGCTTGTGCAATCGGGACGCCTATTCATTACGGTACTTCGTGATGGGAATGGAATATAGAGAAAACTGTTTTAGGCCCCTATATACCTACACCTATCCAAGTCTTGAATGCAAGTATCATATTCTCTTGTTTTGCATAGTGTAGACACCCTACTTGAATGTGTTTTAAAGAGAAATTATGTGACATCCATAAAGATACATTGTAATTTCTTGCAAGAAAATTAGAACACGTTCTATTTTTCTACAAGATTTGGGCTGTCAAGACACTGATTACACTGGTTTGAAACAAAACATGTGCCCCGAATTTGTAATAGTGCTGTTTTTTATTATCATTTTGAGTATTTTCTGACTTTTTTTTTTACTGATTCAGTGTTCATGACCTGTGAACTTCAATAAATGTTTAAAATGTCTTGGTCAAAGGAAAAATTCGGTACACTGATACACAGAAGAGCAAAAAAACAAAAAACAAAAAAAAACACACAAAAAAAAACTTTCATCAAATAAAGAATTTGCATCAAATTGTGCCTGATTGTATATTGAAAGGGCCATTTATTTAGCTTTTATCTCAATGTGACATGTAAGAAACTTGCATTGGTCGCTTATCAAAGAAAAGGGGGACCACTGCATAGGAGATAACTTTAGATCTATTTTTAGCATGTGGAAATACCTTCACGTTGAAAACGAAAGTTATTGCTGATGAGTGTCATATTGAAAGATAAACACACAGTATCAAAGAAGTAATGAGGATTAAGGAGATGTAAATTATTCAAAGGTAAATGCCAAAGAAAAAATCTATAGATTTCTAATATTCTTAAGCATTTAGAAATTGAAGGCAAATCATGGGTCTTTGCGTTTATTGAATGACACCCTTCCTTATTCATTTTTGTTTCATATTTGAATACAATGTTATTCGATGTGGTCAGAGGATCTAAGTGTATACAAGTTACAGCTAAACTGGTTTGTACTTTATTAATATAAGAAATCTATTTGATCAATGTTTAAGATTTTATCTGGGACACTGACTTATGACCATTCCTGAGCAAAGGAAAATGACAATATGTTAAATGTACTCATTGTTTGAATAGACGCATTTTCTATTCATTCCTAGTAGGAGCCTCCGTGGCAAAGTGGTTAAGGTTGCCTACTTCAAATTACTTAATTGCCCCTAACTTCTGCGAGTTCAAATCCTATCGGGAACTGTGGATTTTCCCGTGTGAGGAATCTACCCAGCTAGCTTACGGAGGGTTGCTGGCTCTACTCAGGGGAACGCTGGTGCCTTAAATAATGTACGAAGGAGCACATGAGGTCTTCCTCTGAAAAGTCGCCTTATGACCTTAATTTGACTTAATAATCAGACAAAACAAAACGATCAAACTGGTCGCTCCTGGGTACTAGTAGTTCAGTTGTAGAATAAGCACCACTAGCTGCAGTTAAAAAATAAGACAGCTTAAAGAAATACTTGCGTCTTGTATTGTACAACATTTGGATATATAATGAGGGGAAATTTGATTTTAAGCTTTTCTAAAAGTAAATACAATGTATTTGAGGTTTTGATAGACAAAAAGATGATTTACATGATCATTCTGTGTGTTGATTGTATCGAGATCGATAGTTTAAAAATGAACTGGGGTATATTTCAGGTGTGTGTAAAGTTTTGGTCACAGTGTTAGATTATATGGCTGTCTGAGAACATCCGAAATGAAATACATGAACAGTTAATGGCGGCCTATAAAGAAGTGGTCGTTAAAGAGGAAGAACTCTGTTGTTACATCTGCTTAGAAGTGTACGATAAACCAAGAACATTGCCATGTTTGCACTCATTTTGCCACACATGTTTAGTCAGATATGTTGAAAAAAGTTGGGAGGTTGATAAAACGGTTGCTATTCTTTGCCCAATTTGTCGAGTGAATACACCGGTCTCTAAGTGTGAAGCAAAAAACCCTGAAAAATGGGTGGAGAATTTACCAATTAATTTTACACTTGTTTCAATTTTAAGCAGTAAGAAGGAAAAAATGTCAAATACTGACGGTAAATGTGTCCAATGTCTTAAAGACAGTCTGAATTCTGAAGCAACCGTTTATTGTTATGAGTGCTCAGAACAATTATGTGACAAATGTAAGGAAGTACACAAGAAGGTAACAATTCTATCAAATCATAAACTTATTGACATTAAAAACAGACATGATAATGTTGCTAAACTTGAACTGTTAAAGTCGCTGACGAGATGTCCAGAGCACATTTCGGAGGAAGTTCGCTATGTGTGCAAGGATCATGATCAGCTTTGCTGCAATGAATGCGCTATAGTTACACACAGGAAGTGCGATCAAATGGTCTCCATAAGCAAAGAATTGGGAAAAATTGGCACATCGGTCAAAAGCGCTAGTGGAAGATTGCAAGTGTTAGACAAATATCTAGACCAGCTAATAGCGTATGAATTACATCATCAGTCAATTATCAAAGTGTGCAGAAAGGAAATGAAGGATAAACTGAGGGATATAAAGAAGAGAATCGACAATGCGTTCGAATCAATGGAAAGATCTATTTGCGCAGAATTTGATGAAAAGAGTAGCTCAATGCTAAAAGAGAGTGAACTTCAAAAAGAAGAAATTGAGTCTTTGAAATCGGAAGTGAAACAATCAACGGACAAAATGCAGGCAGCAAATGACTTAGGTCAACAGCTGCATTTGTTTGTGACACAAAGGGTCCTGTCGAATGAAATAGCACAGCACGAAGAGGAAATCGGACGTGTTTATAACAAAATGAGTGAAGATGTTGTTGCAGCCTCAGAGAATGCGACATGTGCTGATATCGAGGCGAATATAGCTGGCTTGCTATGTATTGCAAAGAAAAGTTATGGTGCTTTTGTTCCTTTTTGTCCAGTATTAAAACATAAATCGTTTCTTGATGCTGTTAAATGCAACTTAAGCATGACAAAAAGTGAAGATACGGAAGCTGAAATAGTTTATACAAATACTTCAGAAGACATACCCGTAGACTATTTGTCGTATGACAGGGAATTGCAAGATGAGGAAGCTGAAAAGGTTTATGAAATCGATTCAGAAGATACAGAATATTTCGAAAATGATTCAGAAAATACAGACTGTTTGTCATATGACAGAGAATTTCAGACAAAAGAGTGCGAGGTAAAACAGAACAGCGAAGATTATTTCCAAGAAAATGATTTCTTTGCTTGGGATATCAATGATAAAGATGGAAAACTGGACTTTCGTTCTGCACGAAAAACTGGCACTGCACAAAGACCATTTTCTAGACACACGAAAGCAGGTGGAAAAGCAAAACATGGTAAAAAGAAATAACAAACACTGTTATCTTCGGCAAGTCACTGATTTTATCAGTATTATATACAGGACAAAGTAACATTGGTCAGTACGTCTTACAAAAACTATTGCAAGTTGATTTGAAAGTAAATCGGAAAAAAAAAGAAGGAAAAAAGTGAAATTTGTGTTACCAGTAGACTTTTCTGAGTTAATGATGACAAATGACATATCTTTACACGTATCCTATCACAATGTTGCTGATTTGAAAGTGCTGGTTGCTGATGGAGCGGACTAGTACATACCGTACAAATATTTGTGATTTTTAAACAGCTAGTCTAGCTATTAAAGACAACCTTGAAGGAAAGTCAAAATTGTGCTTGCTATATTAATCTTTTTAATTATTTTTTTTTTAATCTAGCTTTGTAATTTTGCACCGCCTAGAGAATAGGAAGATCTCCTTCATCCATAACTTTTATACAGGCAAACACATGGAAGTATTTTGAGCGTAGAGCGGAGATATTTAGAAATTAACAGAGGACCTCTACAAAAGTTTTTATCAGCCATGAAAAATTAACAGAAATATCACTTCTGATTCCTATGTATTTAAATGTTATCATTTGTTTTTTAGTCAAAATGGTCTCGATTTCTAGGTGATCTCGTCAACTGTGTAAATAAAACTTATGTTTGTTTCTGACCAAATATCTGTTATGTATATTTAATTATGTACAAAACTTTTTATCGTCAACATTTATCCTCTATTTTGAAATGATAAATACTATTTTAAAATGTGACGTGCTCTTTTTTAAAGTGTGTTAATATTAAGTTATTTTTAATATGTATTTCATTTTTTTTTTAAACTTCAAATCTTGGCTTTCTGAACGGGAGAATATAGTATGACAGAACAGAAAAATCTGACACCATGAGCAACAATTGGAACATAGCCATGCTTTTAATCAGTTAATATCAAATAAACATGCGGGGTACATATCAGAGGCTATCTGTTGTGACTGTTGAAATCTAGTCTGGCTGCTGTTAAGTCATGTTTATAGTGACAAATTTGCACAGGGCATTTCAGGGGAAAAACAGTATTTTTAGGGAAATATAGCTTTTTGGAGCTAGGGAAATAGCCTTAATCTGCTGTAAAATATATATACATAAAATAGTCATAATTTTGGATTGAAAATGTATATTGATCAATGTGCTATAACAGTATTGTATGAAGTCAAAATAAAATTAAGTTCTGTTCTATAGAAATAGTTTTTCTTATATTCAATCTGATGAGGGCAGCAATAAATCTTGAGAACTCTTATTGTAATGATTAACGAGTCATCTTGTTTGCTTATTAAATGTTGTATTACGTTGTATTTGCCTAGAATTCAGTACTTGGCAAAACAATTGTGCAAAAAAAAAAACATATATCGACTTCGAAATTGATTTCCTCACTGCACTATTGTATACATTCCAATCACAACAGTTTTAACATATTGTTTCATGAAATGTCATACTAGACAATAACAGCAATTTGTGATCTACGTAAGTGTGTAAGTGTAAATCCAATTATCAGTGGTCTTAATAATGAAACGAAAGATTGGGACTGAAAATGAGTGGTCTTAATAATGGATAAGTCTCAAGGTCTTACTTTTGGATTGGGTAATCATTGAAATAAACAGTAAAATTCTAGTCTCTTTAATTATCAGTCTTTAATGTAGTGGTTGTGATCCCCAGCATATACTTGGTTTAGATTTTACAAACTTTAGTTCGATTGTGTTAAAAGCTATAAACTTATTAAAACACTCGAATCCATGCCTCGAACCAACCAGTACAAATCTTGCTCACAGAAACAACAGATTGTCATCAACAAGATTTGATCCCACATGGTCTAAAGATTACTTGTGCCAATAATGCAGTTGGTTAATCAAAATACACACATGTACTGGCAACCAAACGATCAAAATCTTAGAACAAAGTATTGTCATCTGATTAAATTTAGTTTTGTAAAGACTATTTGCAGTCGGCTCAGACAAGTTGTAACAATGACACTTCACTACCTGTGCATGTGTCTCGTCTCGTTCATACCGAGGGTTTGCCAGCACCTTGACTCGTTCATACCGAGGGTTTGCCAGCATTTTGACTCGTTCATACCGAGGGTTTGCCAGCATTTTGACTCGTTCAGACCGAGGGTTTGCCAGCATCTTGACTCGTTCATAACGAGGGTTTGCCAGCATCTTGACTCGTTCAGACCGAGGGTTTGCCAGCACCTTGATTCGTTCATACCGAGGGTTTGCCAGCATCTTGACTCGTTCATACCGAGGGTTTGCCAGCATCTTGACTCGTTCAGACCAAGTTTGCCAAAGATTAATGGGTGATTACTGTTGTTGTATTGAAACACAGATTCAGATTTAAGGTATGACCATCCTAATGCATTTTACTTCCGTGTTGGAGAGTATTCTAAAAGGCTAATACTAATGTTAAAGTAGGAAATTGGTCAAAAACATGTTAAAATGGGTGGGGTAGGGTAAATGCGTATTTCATAAATTTTGGTTTGTTGGATTGTTAGCTGAATGTTACATTTTATTTCGCACAAAAGTTCACAATGAATATACTGTAGATTATTTCAAGGTTCCTTATTTCTGAAAAAGGGCCCGTCTAACATCCAAGATTAAATTCAGAAAAATGACCATTATTTAACTCGATTTCTGTATGGTAAAGTTTGTTTAAATTGTGCATACAAGTGTACTTTAAGGTATATATCTGACCTATGGTGTAAATCTTTTAGTTCCCATTAGGATGGTCATACCTTCAGTTCATATTCTTTGTTAAATTTAACATTTTATATCAATTGTGATTTGAAGGCACATTATGCCTCAGAAATGAATTATTTTCTCTCCTTTAGATACGGCAAGCATGGTTTTGTTATGTTGAAATAATAGTGGTTTTAGAGCATGTTAGATGTATCACATGAAGAAAATAATGCTGGAAGTAAAATTATATGTCGTAAAAGTAGTATAATGTAAACAAAGTAGTATTTTGACTTCCATATAAAAATTTTTAATCAATATAACTGTACTAATTACCAAATGGCATCAAAGATGGTTCTGGTAATTGGTCAACAAGTAACTCTGGAAACTATAACCGTACATCAAAAATGGAAACACAAGATTTTCTGAGGCATAATGGGCCTTTAATCTTGAATTTTATTTGAACCATTTTCAAGTCTGCTTCCTGGATCTTGTACTGGCTTGATACAACCAGGGTCAAGACCTCTGTATGGCTCGAACTAACAATCCCTGGGTAAGAGGTCCTTTATCACAAGGCAATCACAATTGGTCACAATTGTTCAAGACCTTTAATAATAAATGTCTTTAAAAATACAAAACAAATTCTTGACTACTCTTTCTACTTTTTTTTAATACCATAATTCTAAACATATTTAACATTTCCATTACAATAGATTTCCAGATGTGATTAAATTGCCTTAAGAAGTAATAACAACCACAAAGCCCAGTCTTTTGAATTCTTATGGTTATTTGTTCCTTTGAAAAACTATAATCTCTGTATTTCTTCATGTAACACTTTTCTTAAAAGTTCTGTGAAACATACTTGTCAAGTGTTTTAAGCTGCATCTGTTTCAGGGTATGAAGTTTGCCACAGGTCATTTTTTTTTTTTTTAAAGCATGCTCTGAAAAATAATGGCAAATGACTGCCAAATACGCTGCTGCTAATTCATTGTTTAATGTTTTATCAAAATAAATCCTGCAATACCTTTATTCAAAAGAAAGATAAACTTTGACTTATTTCATTGACCTTTCCAATTCTTTTTCTTGTTCATTCAACACACACAACTGTGTCTACACTTTCTATGAGTGGGACATAAAAAAAAACAATAGCACTTTCTATTTACATACAATTGTAAATTCTTAAAAACAACATTTAAGGCAAAATCCATTTTCTAGATTTGTGGAGCGCTACTTTTAAGAAATATCTTTTTATACACTGACAGTCTCAAGACAATATTTATACAAGTATATTTATCCTGTATTATTCCCTTCATCTTCTCTTCTTTTTCTTGTCCCTTCCTCCATCGTCACCACTGTGCTTCCTCTTCTTCGGTGACGACGAGTGCCGATCTTTGTCCCTGTGATGATGCGATGATTTATGTGGTGACTTGTGCGGTGATTTATGCGGAGATTTATGACATGATTTATGAGACGACGACGATTTATGCGACATTGATTTATGCGACATTGATTTATGCGACGATGATTTATGTTTACTGCTACTGCTGTGTTTACTACTCTTACTGGGTTGTTTCGAGGTGCGCGGATCTTCACCATACTCGTCCAACTCAAGATCGGCTGAAATGATACAAATAATTAAGCATTATTAAATGTACCTTATAAAATATTGATTTAAAAAAGAGGTCCACAGTGGCTCTAGACTGGAATTTATGCTAGGTTATTTAAAATTCCTTCCATGCATGACAAAGTTACAGTCCAGACACAAAGTGTGTACCTTTAAACTCTTGTAAAAATGTGAACCTTCAAACTGTGTGACCTTGGCCTTTGAGGTAAGGAAAATGGGTTTTACGATGACACATCATCCACTCCGTACATTTGTGCCAATTTATTTTAAGATCCTTCAATGATGACAAAGTAACAGTCCGGACACACATGTTGTGCAAGTGTGGACACACAGACAGACGTTGCGATTTTAATTTTATATTAACAGTATACATACCTCTTCTAGCCTCCTCCTCCAGCTCGTCCCAGTCTTTACCACTTTCCTCACTAGATCCTAGGTCTTCTTCGTCTTCTAAAAATAGCAAACAACAATAGCAGGTGAAGTTAATCGTAAATTTGAGTGCCCAAGCCAAGTTAACAATGACAACTATATAAAACTTACAAGGGAGGGCAATCCAAGTTTACAATGACAAGTCATAACTATATAAAGTAAGCAAGGGAGGCAACCAAAGTTTTACTATATTTAAAGTCATACCGGAGTCTTCTTCCTCTTCCTCCTCCCAGTTACTCTCCTCGCTGTAATCGTCGGAACTTTCCTCCCCACTACCGCTAAACTCATCCGATGGGTTAAATTCTTCATCCTCTTCATCTTCTTCGTCATCGCCTTCATCCTGTGAATAATAATAATTCAATTATATACCCTATTTACTAACTCATCTATTCTCCTTTAATTTTGAGGATTCAATAAAACACACAGTCTTATTAAATGCATATCACGGGTGTTTTGTCTTTTTGTTATGTTGGGTTAAAGCAACAACAACACTTTAATGGTCATATGTCAACTTTCAAGTATTACTGGTGGAGGAAACTTCCAGTGCCCCTCCAAGCATAACTGGGGACCTGAGTAGAATCACCGAGGTTCAGTAATTTAGCAAGATAGCTCCCTCACATGACAGAATTCAAAGTTCCTGTTGGAAGGGGAAAATGGTTAGAAGTTAACAATCAATCATAGATGCCCCTGTATCATGGAGATCAAAGGGAAAAGAGAATGAGAAGATGAAACATTCTGAAATTTTCCATAGGTTTAAACATTTCTGGTCTGATACGTCTTGCTTCTGCAGACCAGTGCAGTGGGGAGCAAAGATTGATTCCTGCCCCCACCCCATCCACAATCAATGTCAATAGCATATATATTCACGAACTAACTTTTTAAAAATTATGTTATTATCAAAAACATATTAGACAAAAAATGCAATCACCAAAACAGAGAGCAAAAAAGATTTAACTTCCTTACCTCACTCTCTGGGTCCAAAAAACTCCATCCACCACCATCAAAGAAGCCTTCTGGATCTTCAGTGATAGTTTTCATAATTTTGGTCCAGTTAAGAGACTGGACACCCTCAGTGTAACGCAGATCACAGGAACTGAAGAAGTGCATTAGATTATTTATTTTCCATAAGCCATTAACATGTTTAATGTGCATTATATAAATGTGTCTCCCCCCTTTTTCTTTACAATTTCAGGATTCATTTTCCTCAAACAAATGGCCTATAATAATCAGGTATTAAATACAATGTTATGGTGAAACATTTTAAAGCAGCATGCTTCCAGATTTATGCTTATAAATTTCCAAAATGAGTCAAAATTTGCAAATATAGCCCTTACTGTGTAAGTAATGTAGTAGAAATATAGTGATAAATACAGCAAAATCAGTCATTAATCACACTTAACATGTAAACTAATACTTGACTCTTTTCAATTCCTTAAAATCTGATTACATTTTTCTTAAAGTTTCATATTCTTGAAATACTTTTGGTACATCTGGAGGCATGCAGCATTAAATATATACAAATAAAAAATTGCCTATCCCGGATTTTCTTATAACCCCATCTTAAAAGTCATTCTGTCTTATGTTCAATAAGCTAGTGAAGAGGAAAATAAATGACACTTACTTTAACCACTCTTTGACATTTTCAAGTACCTGCATAGGTACAGAGTTCACCATAGCTATCTTCTTATTGTAATCTTTGAATACAAACACTATGTCAAAATTCTTCAAATGAAATGACACACGTTCAAAGTGGACCAATTCTACTTCGTCAAGGGAGATAACAAATGGTGGCTGAAAGTAAAATATTGTATTTTTAATCGCAATTTGTAACATTAAGCCCACTACAACCCAAACTGAGTTATTGGTCTTTTGAACAGTTAGGGTTTCACTTAATAACTACACTAAAATGGCCATTTCCCAGCTTTACTGATGGACAAAGAAAAAGGGTGGCCCTAGATGTATTATATTGTTCAAACTAGTTGGCCCTTACAAACTTTGGTGTCTTTTTTTCTTGCTTTTTGTTTTTTTTAAACTACTTCATTTTAGCAATGGAGGTCCCAACATTGAGGTGTTACGGTAAATAGAATAAAACTTACCCATTCTGTTAGTGTCACCAGGCAACCACTGGTGGGCTGCAAGAGAACTGTGCTACGGAATGGAGCTCCATGGAAACCAAGCTCTCTAAACGGAGTATCAAATTCTACCTCGTTTTTGGTCAAAATTTCCACCTTTTCGCAGAAATTCTTGAAGGCTGACTTTAATTTCTGCCTCATATCTCTTTCAGCCTAAAATCAATGCAACAAACATTCAATGACAGAACATAAAAGACTAAAATTGTAACTGCAAATTTCAGAGCTTTAAGGGCCCATTAAGTCTTCATAATGCTATTATTTTTCAAAAGCTTTTTATTTTTGGTGTCCTGTTTCAGAACTTTCCAAAACTTTACTCATTCACCATATAGTTGAGGCAACATAAATTTTCCCTGCATTTTTGCAATTAGTACAGTAGTGATTTATATTATGCATGGAAATCAAAATGCATTTTTGTTTACAATAGTGCTACCTTTATCACAAACAGTTCACATGTAATACTATTTTCTTCAGGTAATGAGCACTTTACATTTTCTAAATCCATTATTACAACATGTTTGCCCTTTCTACAGAAAAGAATTTTTTTTTTATTTCCGAGGCATAATGTGCCTTTAAGTTTCTTGACAGTATCAGTGCATTGAGTTTGTTTACAAAATCAATTGCTCATTCTCCACAAGCTAAATTGAACTGTTTCTTTACCATATGAATATTTCTGTTCCAATACAGTAAGAGTAAAAGAGCAGTTAGAGTAAGTGAGAACTAAATCTTGAACAAAAAAGACCGTACCTGTTCAGCACGTAGATCATCTCTATCGTGCATATGCTGATGTTTGCCGAGATCTGTGGTAATCTCTCCCACCTCTGTATAGAACTGTACATCTATATGTTTCTTCTTACCAAACAAGATGGCGTGCTAAACATTCCGGAAAGAAAGTAACACCAACATATATAAATTATGCAATAAACAGCTCTCAATAATATTTACTACAAAATAAAGGACCAAGTTATGTACATCAATAGTGTTAAAACATATACAAACACCATCACCATATCTTCATATATACTAAATAATGGATTATTAAAATACATTCATATATTTTACAAGAAATGTTTTTTTGGTTGAAAACACAATTTTTTCCACAATTTTCATTAAAATTACTGCAATTTCCATAGTTGTGTGTTTAGACAAATAGATTCACAGCCAAAACCAAGACAATTTTTTTTTTTTTTTTAATGCTGATTATATAGAGGATATTTGTTTAGTTCAGTGTAAGATCGGAATATATTTCACCGAGTGGGCACCAAAAGGTATATTTCACGAGTGGCGCAGCCACAAGTGAAATATGAACTTTTGGTGTTCACAAGGTGAAATATATTTCGATCTTATACTAAACTTAACAAATTTTCTTTTTATTACATGCAAAGAAACGTTTTAAAAAGACATTAAACCTAATACTGAATGAAAAGCGTGCCAAATAATAACACAACATCATATATGACGTCATGTCATTAAGTTGGTACCCAGTACTGTGTACGCTGGTATTTCACTGAAACACCGTAAGGGGCTTAAATTCAAAACAGTGAAATTATCAAAGTGGTAATTTCACTGTTTCAAACAGTGAAATTACCAGTTTTATATCACTGATATATTTCTATAAACCACCGAAAAGCATGTAATAAAACATATTATTTGGGCATATCTCAGCAGTAGGTCTATGTTACCAGCCTTTCTGGACAACTTACCAGTAATTACCATTTTCTTTGCAAGTGACCGACTACTTATCCAACATTATTGGTGAATCAGCCTTGAGAGGCAAATGACCATTAGATTCAAGATCAATTCATGTCACAGAGAATAGAAACTATATACCTCTGCAAACTACTTGTTTTGTTTAAGATCTTTAACATTCAAGTTCATGATGGTGCCCTAAACATTCCAAATATGCAAGCCTTTTTTTAATTTCACAAAAAAATTGTTTATTTTAAAAATTATTTTCACTACAAAAGATTTGCGACTGTCGTTTTCCACCCTGATACACAAAACTTTTATGTTTGCTCAAACACTGGAATAAAGAGACAATACAAAATTTTCTTAAGCAGCAAAGCTCTTATACATGTAGAATCTCCACCAAGTACTGAAATACCTACCTTGAGATGAAAGTGTAACAGTATGATCATTTCACCATCACAAGGCTGGAAGAAGGCATGTTTGATGTTGTTGTATAATACATCCACCTTATCTCCCCTCACAGACGTAAATCTGAAACCTGGATGAAAATACAACATATATAGACATATATCTTTATTTTTCATAACAGTATAATAATATTAATTTTCCCATTTCTATTTTTATAACCATGATCTATTAACTAAATTATACAAGCAAGTCTTCACAAAGTACTATCTTTCTAAAATCCAGTGTTTAATTAATGGAAATATGCTTTTGAATGTCAAGTTTTAAGTCACACCTACAATGTACAGGTCATACCTTCACTGTAAATGTCACATGGCTACTTTCCAGCTTTCATTGGGCAAGGATAACATTACGGGTCACCCTATGCAAACAATTGTAGATTTAGCAGGCACCTGTGTTAAGCCAACAACCTTTCATAAGCTGTCAGAGTTGTAAGAGTGCTTGCGAATTAATGTCATTTCACTTACCATTAGAATGAGCTTCCAATGATCCAGATATTCTTTTAGAGACGATGTTGGGACGTATATACAAATCTTTCAATTTTGGGTTACCCCTGTTGGGGTTCACTACCAAGGCATCTTGTTTCACTATTCCCTGAAAATTAAAGTTAATTTTATATAAAACATTCAATAAATGCATGTTAGTTATCAGACTAAAATACAAAATGTTCTTTATGCATAAATCATCCAACCCTCAGTTTCTGTATTACTATATAATTTTAATGCAGACATGTTACTTTAATCATTTATAAATCTAAAATCATTTTGAAACAAGATTTATAATTATGAACAAACCAAAGTAAAATCTATTAAAATCAAATAAAAGCTGCTTCATTCATAGGTGAGTTAACACTGCAGAATGGAAAAGAAACTGTTCAATAAAGATTTTATTTTATAAGGAATCAAATGTATCAACAAGACCTCTTTTTCTTTCTCTTCCATTTCTCTCGTCTTGAATTTCTTCTGCACTTCTTTGATCAGTCTGTATGCAGTGTTCAGGTTTGAAGATGGGGCATACAATTCCCCTGGTTCCTTTGTGTTTGAACTTCTATATGTTCTGTAATGTAAGACATACATTATGTTACACAGTCCGAGTGGACAAAAAATCATATACAATATTCAACATAGAAATATTGTAATAAAAATTCAAGGCAGGGCCAAAAAAACCCTCCTTTGTAGAGGCCGAATATAGGCTGCTTCCCCAACCAAATTAGCTTCTTTTTTTCCTCAGTTAGGTCCTCAAAATTCCCCAGTCTTGAAATTTCCCATAGAATTTAGAACAAAATTAAATGATGGTGTTGAATTAAGGTTTTTAACTGCACTATTAGTATTTCCCAGTGCTTTTTGCTTTTCTATTTTGAAGAACTTGTTAAAAGTTTGTGTTAAATTTGCCAAAATCACGCATATTTTCCCCAGGCTCCTTCCCCAAAAATGATTTTGTCCCTGCAAGGATACAGTCAGCCCAACAATAAACACTAATGCTACTGACATGGGCATTACAAGTATAAATGTACTGTAATGGCTCCAAATAATAATATAAAAAGTTGTCATTCTATTACATTTAATTGCAAAATGCTGTAGAAAATTGTAATCTTGCATTCAAAATTCTAATATGTGCTTATAAATTTTGTGTATACAATATGTTGTCAGTTTTCCCTAATCTGTCTTAAACATTGCAAAAATTCCCAATTCTGGGGGTTCGACTCATGTTCCCCGAGTGTTGAGAAAAAAACCTGAAAAAAAAAATCCATAACATACATCAACATACTTTTAAAAATTTTACGAACCCTTATAAGCACGAATGTTTTTTTCTTAGATTATAACAATGCCACAATGGAAATGGAAAACATCCCAACTTAGGAATTTCCAAAACATTGGAAAGTGTCTAGGTTTAACACAATATTATCTGAAACGTGTTGATTTTCACAGATTCATTAGCATTTATAACCCTCAAATTTTAAACTTACATTTCTTTCAGGAATGTGGCATCATTTTGCGGGAACGTATTTCCCTCGTTTCTTCCAAGAGCAGAGCCAGGGTGGAAAAAGTTTATACGCAGATATGTGTAATCTCCTTCTATAGATTGACTTATATTCTGAAATAAACAAGAGCTGTTCCTATGACAGCATGCCTAGCAATGCATACATCCCCGAGCCGTCTTATTCTAATTAGTGGATACAATGTGAATTTCACCACAACATATTTCTTAACATAAGAGCACATGTCCATATTTGTTTGTGGTTAAATCTATTGTCATTCAAATGAAATGTTAGAGTAGGGATCTATCAATTCTCAGTACTGTAAGGAAAGAATAGGGGGCATATCTCTGTTTTCAGAATTATGGGACGCATGCCCCATCATGTTCTATATCATAATAACCACAGAGAACAAATGAAATGAATGAAGTTTCCACCAATTCTCATCAGTAGTTTTAGAGATACCAACTTGCATCCAAAACTTAACAATAGTGTAATGGCGATGCCAAAATGAGTAATAGCTCTCCATATTCTTTGAATAGTCAAGCCAAAATATGTTTGGTAAATATTACATGCCACATAAAAGCAAAATACTTCAAATTAAGTGTCAGTGATGAAATATACAACTATTTTAAAAGTGAGCTGGATATTTATTTTTTTCAGCACTTACTTTAACTGTAGAGATGTGAAAGGGTGTAGGTAATCCAAATATGGGTAAAATAATTGTCTCATATTTCTTATCTGAAAATAAAACCAGTAAAATACTGTATACAACTAAATACTTTAAGTTTGGGTAACTACGTTTAAATTCATGTATATCATTTTTCTATACTGCACTGACATTGGCAAAGACAAGTACAGTTTAAAGGACAGGAACTAACTTTATAAATATTTTATAAATCATCAAAAAATTATACATATACTGACTTGAAAATATTTAGGCGTCACCAGTTTTACTCAAATTCCTTAACAAAGTGGCCATAATAGCCCTGAAATCGCTCACCTGAGTACACAAATAAGGAACAAGTAACATTGTAAACTATAAACAAAAGCAGATAAAAAATCTAAATCTTAAACTGAAATAACAAAGTTCATATTTGTATCTGTAATACTGCATTTGTAAACATTACTGGTTGCTATTGCTAAGGGAAATTAACAGTTCCAAAAGATGTGCACATATAAGGAAAATCAGTTTTGACCCCAAGGCTTTTATTTGAACAAACTTGCTAAACACCCATTAGAAAAATTTTCATGCTTAATATCTAAGCTATAGCTATTTGTGTTTTTTAACAGAATTTTTTTAAAAAGTTTTTTACTATATACATATAAAGAAAATCAATGACACCCAGGCCGGGTCAATTTTGACTTAAGTTCTTTTATTTGAACAAACTTGGTAGACACTCACTAGAAGATGCTTCATGCTTACTATCTAAGCTTTAGCTATTTTGGTTTTTTAAAAGAAGATTTTTCAAGTTTTTACTTTATACATATAAAGAAAATCAATGAACCCCGGGAATGGAGCCAATTTAGACCCCAGGGCTATTATTTGTTCAAACTTAGTAGCTTTGAACAAAATTAGTAGAAACTCACTAGAAGATGTTTCATGCAAATTATCTAAGCTCTAGCTCTTTGGGTTTTTTTTAAAAGAAGATATTTTAAGTTTTTTCTTTGGTTGCCATGGCAACCAGAGTTCTTCATGGAACAAAATTCTTTGAACAAGTTTCAAAGGTGATCACCAAAGGAACAATCCTGTGAATTTTGGATGAAATTGGCTTAGCGGTTTATGAGGAGATGTCATGTAAAGCCGGACACCAAACGAAAAGCAATCACAAAAGCTCACCCTGTCACTTTGTGACAGGTGAGCTAAAAAGCAGTTTAGAAATTCACTAAGATATTTCACTTTATTGAATTCAAATAACTAAACTATGGCAAAACTAAGTCTAATTTGTCAGAGGTTAATTCTGCCGAGGTATTAAACATTAAAATAATTGCAGATGTGTTGTATAAAATATACTTACCTACATACAGCTTTAATTCTCTAATTTCAGACTCATTTGGCAGATGTGAGAGAGTCTTGTAAGAAACATTGGATTTTCTCAACCTTCAAAGACACAAGAATTATACGTATTTTAAAAATCAATGTATTTCGTGATGGATATCTAACACTTTTTCTTATTTTAAAGGCACTCCACTGAGGTCCAAAAGCCTAAAAACATAAAATATGAATTTCTTATATAGATCATCCGAAACACTTACAACTGGGAGATAATTATGCAAAAGATAATTAAGAAATATACTTGGAAATAAATTGAAAAGCTTATTTTTTTGATGTTCTTCACCTGATTTGAGTGAAAAGCTTTGTTTTTCAATTTTGGGTCATTTTTCACAGATAGAATAATTTATGCTGGAAAAATGGAGGGAGCAAATGATCTGAAATTTTGAACACACATAATTGGTCTAGACCTACATCAAATGGAACATTAATCTCAAAAATTATTTTCAGTAGAGTCTAAGTGGAGTCTCTTTAATCCCTTGATGGCAAGTTTATGGTGACATTGCTACATCCAATTTTGATTTATGTATTTTACAACAGCCAGTGAAAATATTGAGCCAAGCCAGTAGTTAAGCCTTTATCTGATCAAAACATTTTCTTCTTCATAGTTGAATACTTCAATCAATTTACAACAAGCTTTACAACAGGCACAACTGTATCAATTGGTAATTTTTGTCCAACAGTTGGGGAAAAAAAAAGATGGACACACTTTTCTATTGGGAATCTGACCAAATATCTGCTATAAAATGGCCAAAAATCAGCCCTGAATGAAGTATGAATATGAAAATAAAAGAGCAAGTATAAGAACTAACTTTTTCTCGTCACCGCCTGACTTCAGCCCTCTAATCCTTTCACGAGCTTCTTCATTCAGTCTCGTGGCCAGTTCCTTCTGGTGTTTTAATCTTTTCTCTTCAGTTGTAGCATCCGGCTGTAATAAAATCAAAAGAACAGTTTTTCCTGAAATGTTGACACTTATCTCCAAATTTACATATAAAATAACAACAGAAATCATGTACAAGGGATGGTCCAAAAATAAAAGGACTGGCCATAGTAATTTTACTTTGTACCAAAGTTCCGTTGCATTCAAGCTGCAGGCATTTCTTTCCACAGGAAAGGGCCTTCACCTTGCACTTTTTTTGCACAATTTTACACAATACCAATTAATTCCCTCAAATAACGTACCCTGGTTCGGTTCTCGAGGACGGCATTCCTCCTGCCTCGGCCGAGTATTTCTGGTTGTTGACTTTTTTCTTCCTCCTCCGACTCATTGTCTTCCTCGTCCTCATCTTTCAGGAATATACCCATGTACTTCATACGTTTCTTAGCCGTTGTCATCACTGATGCAGGAGATCCCTGTAAAATATAACAAATCAGGGCATTACAAATTATTTCTGGGAGGTATACATCCAGTAGTTCAACTATTACAAAATTATACATTTTCAGCTATGATACTGAAATGCATTTAATTTAAAATGGACAGTTCAAAAATCAAAGTAGGGCAAATCTATTTAATACCAATATTCTTTTTTTGTTCACATCATAATAAATGTAGGCTACTTTACTTACATAAACACTTTCAAGATCTTTATGAAAATTTTAATGAATCTGGAGGCATGCTGCTTTAAAAAAAAAAGTCTACAATACTGAAGGTTAAACAAATTTGTCTTCCAGGAATGGAATACCATCACTTGCAGATAAAAATTAACGAGTACAAGACAATTTATGGAAACATGGAGCAATTACTAGCAGACCTACCTCGTTTACAAGCGCTGTATCCCCTATAAACAAGGCATATTTTTTCCCTGCAGAATCTTTACTCTCCTTATTCTCCAGGTCAGAGAACCCCACATTGATGTTAAATACCATATCTATAAAATAATTGATATAAATATAGCATTTTACATCGGAATGGTAAAATTAAGTGACAGCATGGACAGATATCTTCTGTTAAAATACTTCTTTTTTTTTTTTTGGCTTTCAAGTTTTTGCTGATAGATATACTCGAGAAATCGGACAAATGTGGGTTTCTTCAATCAAAACCTGGAGTACAAACAAACTTACACAGTAACAACTTGGTAAATATAACAATATGACAATAAGCTTTACTGATGATCAGGGTTTTCATTTTTATTGGTGGCAACAGATGGGCCAATGACACCAACCGATTTGGTCAAGGGGGATATTTAAATACACAGGCTGAAAATACAACCCATTTTAATAGCATTTTCACCGATGATATGGATTGCCAATCTGTTAATGAAAACACAGGATGATCTATCTATTGTGAATGGTGGCGCACCGCAAAGCTAAATCTGTAAAAGTTTGTCTGTATCAAACGATTAGAAAGGAAAAACCCACAATTGCCATGTACTTGATAACATCTATACAGAAAGACCGCAAGCATTCACTTATTTTAATATTGGTTTCAACGAAATGTAAACAAAGTAGTATTATGACTTCCATACAAAATAGTAATTCCCTAATTGCTAAAAGGTAACGGATGCAAAAGATGGCCCAGCTAATGTGCCAATGAGTAACATTTTGGAAACTAGAACAGAACACTGAAAATAATTAACCTTTAAGAATAAAATCATGATTTAAGAGCATTAATTTTAAGATGACAAATAATTGCACATTGAAAGCTAATTATTCAGGATAAGCATCTTGCATGCTCTTTAATCATTATTTTAACGTTATAAAACTCATGTTTTCTATTTATAAATAATGAAATATTTATACATTTCTGAAGCATAATGTGCCTTTAATATGAATACTCACTCTTTTTCACAGGAATATTTGATTTCCCTGTAATCAGCATAGAGCCTTCTCTGAACTCTATCCCCATCGCAAAGCCGACATTTTTGGTCATTTTATCGAGTAATTCTGGACGTTTCGATTTCACAAAGTTGGCTGCAGCATCATACACAGCATTCAATTTTGTTCCTGTAAATCATTTTTGTATATTCATTTTTTTTGCGCAAACCACTACCATAGTAACATATTTTACTGCTTACATACATTTAATAACAGCAGGCCTAAGCTTTTATTATTTGTTGGAAAACAATTCTGTGTTGTTTCAAAATAAGTATTTCAGTAAGTTTATCTTCTAAAAGTGCATCAAAACAGTGTCCTGAAAGCCTTAATTCCACCTTAATTCTTGTGATTTGAGAATTATATGAAACGTTTTATCTAAAAATAACATATTAAACCTTTAGAAAAGCTGAACACCATTCTAACCTTGTTGAATGGTTTGTTTAATAATGTCTGTTTGTGCTCATTAACAAAACATACAACTTCAATATTTGAAATAAGCTCAATTTCTAGCATACCAGGTTGTAATTTCTTCAAGATTTCATCCTCCACTTCAAGCAGGAACTCGTAATCTTTCTGGATCTTGTCTGTAGGGTCTACCATCAATGTTCGTACAATATTTGAGCAGTATGATTTGTACCTCAACCCCATACAGCAGATTATAGTCCCAAAATGAAGACTCTCATCCGAACTGTAAATGAGACGTCAAAATGTTTCAAATTAATTTAACCCTTAGCCTGCTGAATTTCTTAAATGGACTTTTCCAATGTTCATTTGGAACAGTCCATTATCAATTTTAGGTATATCAAGGTGAGAATTTGAAGTTGGCCAGCCAACAGTATAGAGCCTGGTCAGACTGCACGGATGTGCAGGCTGGCCTGGCTCTATAATGGTGGCAAAGACTAATCACTTTCACCTTTAGGGTAAAGGTTAAATACAATTCATCTCCAAATGCACAATTCACTTGGTTTGGCAATTCATCATTTTTTCCTGTTTGGTTGTATCACAATGTAAATACATGGAAATTCTCCAGTATTTACTCAATGCAATAATACAGGCTTAAAAGCTATATCAAGTGAAATTTATAAACCGTAAAAATCTATTGTCAAGTATAGTAACGTAAATGCTGTTTCTATCACTGAACACAAACAGATATTGTATGATAACAGAATAATATGTTTCAGAACAAAATATTATACTGCTATATTTAGAAGTGTTTTCACCACAAAGCTAATGCATTTGTATATGGCAATACGATGTTCTCTCTCATAGAATCTAAACTAATTTAGGCAAAATCAGAGATTTTAGCGTAACCAATGACGATCAAACACCAGCTACAACTTTCTCAACCACAGAATTTAATATAACTTACTAGATTTATCACTTCAGTATAAAGGAACCATTGGGATTCTTGACCACTGGCCCATCTATTTGATTCCCCATTTTCTCCCTTATGAAATTCAGAATTCTGCATAGCAATCAATTTAAATCAAATATTGAAATAACCCTTAATCAAACAGATTAAATGTTTTTTTTCCTGGCTCACCTGACAGTTGAGAATTTTAGACTATATTTTCCACCACTCTGTATAATGGCAGGGTAGCACATATCTAGTTGTGAGGCATCAATGCCTGCAGGTAAATATTTCTTGTTCTTTAACGCCTGCTCAACCCCATCGGCAAGTTTAGAATGCTTTACTTTCTGTTTCAATAGAAATCATTATTACACAAATTTACTCGTTTGTATAATTTTTACACCAATTTAAACAAAATTTTGGTCAATTAGGCCGGCCCATCTAACTGACTTTCCTGGATAACTAACCAGTGAATGACAATTTGTCCACAAGGGAACCACTACAAATTAATAGTATTGCAACAATTAACTTAAACAGCATACTTGTTCAAATCAGGGACATATAGCCACGATTTGGATTAAAGATTGGAATATTATTACCTAACTCATAAATATTCAGCATAATAAAAATCATAAATATTCATTATCGTAAATAGAATTAATAAATATACATTTACATAAACAAATATCATATATATTCATTAACACATATATAAATAATAAACATTCATTAACATAAATAATATAATATTAATAAATATGCATTAACAGTACCTTATCTGGCGTCAATCACTTCCATTATCTGCTCTTTCAGATACTTTGAGAAAACGTCACAAGTGGCCACACAAGCTTTTTGTATCGTCTTCAATTCAGAATCCTCCTTTGGTGACATTGTCAACGCCATATTTCCACTGACATCAATCTGTTATATTGTGTGATGAAATAATCATATATTGCGCACTGTTTAATAATATTTCATATGTGAATGTAACAGTAATATAACATTTCAATCTTCACTGAGGAGAGCATCCCCAATTTAAATACACTTTCATTTTCATGGATGACACCTCTCAATTTCGATCCTTTACATTCTTTACTAGTCCATTATAAGACATTATCTTGGAAGTATACAGTGTAGCATAGGCACCTAATATTTGAATAACCTTAGTTTAACCACATATGTAAGTGGCAGCATAGCCGAGTAGTTGACATGTCCAACTAGCAATCTAACGATCTCTAACGGGGCCCAAACCCTAACAGGGGCAATATGATGTTTCCTTGAGCAAGAAACTTTACATTCATTGCTCAGTACTGGTCGGTTCCAGAAACAAATTTTAGTGTGTCTACAAGCTATATGCTTCCTACATAATTGAACTAAAATAAATTTTGTATAAATCAACCTTATGTAGAAAGGCAAAAATTTCAAAAGGCCAATTTCTTTAATACCACCATGTTCTTCCATTTGAAATTTTCAAAATGCATATTTCTTTATTCTATTCACCTTTCAAAACTATTTTTTATATACCTTTACCTTTAAAATCCTAAAGTGTTTAGCATTTGCCAACAGTAAGTAGCGCAACTTATGTATTTTTATATTGAAAAACCTAAAACTTTGTATGAACAAATCCAAAACACGAATCCTGCAGATTAAAGATTCAAATATATATTTGATATAATTTCTTCTGTCACATACCTTTTCAAAGTTGGCTCCTTTCAAGGCAGATCTCCAAGCTTCCATAAAATCTCCTGGAAATTTATCCTTTGAAAATTCGCCAATAGTCTTACCCTGAAATGAACACGTATATATTTAACTTGTGTCTAATACTTGGAGATCATGCATCCAAAATTATTAACACATTGATAACATTAATACATTCAACTCCAGGGCTGTCATTAAGATTTTCTGAAGAAGACATGTTTTGAATTTCAGGCAGCCATTTTTTGTTTTCATCACATATAACAAAGAGTGTTTTCTTCAACTTTTGAGGCGGCCCAAAATGTATCTGAGACAGCCTTCTTGGCCTCCTACTGCCTCCTAATAACAATCTGTAACTCAAGGATCCTCTCAGTCATATTTCCACTATGATAATAGCATAAAACAAGGCAAACCTGAACATCAATACAAAGAGTAGAGAAGTAAAGCAAACTAACAGTGAACTTTAGTCCAAAGCCTTATCTATAAGACCTCATCTGAAAGTTTTTTAGTTTGATTGGGTTTTACGTCACACAGATACAGAACAGATCATATGGCAAGGTTACAAAGGAAGACCTTAGCTGCCCTTTTGTGCATCATTTCAATCACGAACGAGCACCCAAGTAGAACCACCAAATATTCATAAGCTAGCTGGATAGCTTTGTCACATGAAATAATCCAAAGTCCCTGTAGGAATACAAACCAACAGGGATGAGGGGCAAATGGTTTAAAGTCAATAAGCTTAACCACTCACCCATGGACACCCCTCATCTGTAAGACTATTATTAATATCAGTTGGAGTAGTGAGTGATCATATTTGCAACCACAGATCCGTAAAAGATGTCACAGTGCTTTAATTTGCATGGCAGAATGTAATCAGCCAATCAAATACCAGGAAAATTACTCCTACCTTTTTACTCTTCTTGATACCTTCAATCAGCTTATTAAAATTTGCCTTATCTTTGTCAGCCTGTAATGTACATGTAATAAAACTTATATTCATACCCTGTTCATATTCAAATATTTGATAAATTTGTCGACAATCATCCATTTACTTTCAATTCAATTCAGTTTGGTTTAATTATCAATGAAATCTTACAACCTTGTGTGTTTCTGAAAGAACATGTTTAAGCAAAGAGCTTAATAATTTTTTTTAAGTATGCAATTTCCACTGATGATCAGAAAGTATTTAAATTATTTCACAAAAGGTATGTAATCTTCAAAGTCCAATTACAGTTAACATTTTATTCGAGAGTATTCCATAGCTTGAAAATTACAGTTTAACAATAAATTTGATTTTCCAGACATACCGGTAAATAAAAATCAATAGCATATCAATTGAAATCCTAAACCTATTTTTATAAATTGAAATCCCATAACTAATCAATCAAGATCCTTAATATGATCCATAAATTGAGATCCCTAGCTTATTGAATGAATTTGAGATCCTCTGCATTTCATATACATCCTTAGTCTATGGTACAAATTGATGTAATTGATTTACAGATGATGTTCGCCAATTGCTAAAGAATGATATTATATTCCGATCTATACATTTGAGCCGTGTCATGACAAAATCAACACAATGCATTTGTGACCAGCATGGATCCAGACCAGCCTGTGCATCCGCGCAGTCTGATCAGGATCCATGCTGTTCACTATCAGTTTCTCTACTTGTAATAGGGTTGGTAAGCGAACAGCATGGATCCTGATCAGACTGCGCGGATGCGCATGCTGGTCTTGATCCATGCTGGTCGCAAACCCATTATGTTGGTTTTGTTGTGACACGGCTCATTTAGAGTCTCTGCCCATTTAGCTGTCAGCAGTGACCAGAGTAATCTTACCTTATCTCTAACCAGCAGTTTAACAGATGGTAAACCATTCTCATTTTCTTTGCCGGCCTCTATCTGTTTCAAGAACTCGATCTTTTTCTTACTTGCAAGAATGTATATGTACTTCTCACACATTACCATCACTGTATCAGCCAACTCGTAACCAAACAACCATGTCTGAAAAAATCACAAAACCTTTTTTTTTTCAATTTTAAAATGTGAATACTTTAGGAAATCAGACTATCGGGGAAACAGATATTTACTGCTGAGAAAATGTTGTCCACAATAAATTTTTACCTTAGTGCAATAACTGGTTAATTAACGCCTATTAAAATTGAGAAGGACTTAACCTGTTACTGCACTAAGGGTACACAAAGTGTAAACATGCTTATTAGTGAAGTAAGCTATTTGAACCACTAAGTCAGCCACTTACTGAAACAGTACTGATGGCATATGAAGAAACAATGATTGTGACCCGAGTAGGAATCAAACTTATCATCCCTGGGTACAGTAAACACCTTAACTTCTTAACATTATTATGAATTGAGAATGAAATGTTAGCTGTTCAAAGTGATTGCAAACTGGGGCTTAAAAATTCCTGTATATACTTAAAGTTCCAAAAAATTAATGCTACAAAAAATTAATGCTAGTTAAAAAAAAATACAGATGCACACAATCTTCAGCATGAAAGCATTAAGTGTGTTATAGAGGACACTGGTTTGTTTTGAGTGGATATGGAATATATCTCACTAAGAAGTGAGAACTTTTTAATATTTTTAAGAACAGGTGGCCAGGTGCAGACTCAAAATCAACAAAATACCCTGCTAATATAAATATAGCCATACCTGAATTGAGGTAGTTTTTGAATACACAACTTCTTCATCCTGGCCCATGGCAACAACAAGGGCATCCATCTTACCATAGCCATCACTTTCATTTGCTTTCTGTAAATAAAAGACCACTATAAATTATAGACCAATTTTATAACTCTAAAATGTAAAGATTCTCATACATTATTTATAGATTGCTTTCCCAAATTAACATACTTAAACAACTGACAACCTTTTCGAAAACCTAGCTAAACACCGTTTTCCGGTATGTTACGGATTTAGCTCTGGGGAATTACACCAAATGAAGTACATAACACAGTTACATGATATTTCTAATTTTCTATCATTATTTTACCATTTAAGGTGAAAAAAATGATGTATTTGAAAATGATCAATATTCCTTTAATATCTATTGCAAATTTTTCAAAAAATAAGTTGTTTATAATAAAAATCAATAAAATTAAAACAGACGTAGTGGAATCTTCCATATTAAATAAGGATTTTTTCTGTGTAAACTTGTGTAATTACTTTATTTTTTGTATGGAATTATTCATACAATGATATTTTATTATACTCTTATTAAGAAATAACTGGTTTATTTCAATTTAATTTAAAAAAAAGGCCGAAAACATCGAGTTCACTATTACTCTCCATTAGGTGAATTCTCCAGAGCTATGTACAGAAAGTACTGGAAAACGGCGTTTAGCTAGGTTTTCGAATTAATGTCTGTAAGTTTATAGCGAAAGAAAATCCCTAAAATTATGGATGGTTCATAAATTTACTGACTGTCCATAAATATAAAATCCTAGACCATAATCCTTGATGTGATGGGGGGGGGGGGCAATTTAGGACTAGAACTATAATGCCATTAACTTAAGCATCACCAATCGTGTAAATTTATGATAACTGAACTATTAAACATGAAAAATAACCATAAAACCATGATCTAAAAAAAGCTATTACGTCCTCGCATTGGGACTGAATGAAAAGAAGGCAAATGTTGAAATGAGCCGCTGGATTTTAAAAATAAATTTGAAATAAATGTCATTCGTATCAACATGTTATTAATGGAAAATTTTCTTACGCCCCAAGCTGAATAGAAAGCCTTGATTCTGCGCCAGTAAGCGTCTTTATCAACGTGAATATTCGACATTATCAGCAACTTTTCTTATTCCATGTCGCAATTGTTGTCAAAATGGCGCGAGCAATGTCTTGATCACGTGGTCTTTAAAATTACCCCGGCTCATTTCTGCGGATACACGACCGAGAACCATATAATGGGTTTTTCCACTAATCTTTCTCGTTTGATTGGTCAAACTCCGTGAATAATGTCCAAGATGGCGGTTTGTGTAGCTGTCATTGCTAAAGAGGTGTTTACTTTCAATATTCCGTCTTTTATAACAATTTCTGTTGACATTTTACTCTTTTGCTTTATTTCAATAGAAGAAATCTTTTCAAATATTCATAAGTACGTACAATTTATGAAGTGAATCCTTCCTGTTTATGGTTATTTTGTTTCCTAAAATAGTTTTAGGTACCAAGGTACTAAATTTGAAAAAGACTTGACACAGCTCAAGTAATAACTCAAATCTTTATGAAGTTACTTGCACAGTATACAACACCTTTAAGAATGGTGCTACAGATCCATACAATGAATGTAAACCCAGCATGGGTGTAAGCCATTTAACAAGCTGGTGATATTTTACTAATTTTCCAGAGGCAGAGGTCATGAGAAAATTTAGCTGATTTTCAAATTCTAGCATAATCAGAGATAGGGGGGGATTTAGGAAATTTTATTGCTCAATAAACTAAATCACTGCTTGGAGTTTGGATGCGAGGAATTATCACGATGGCGTACCACATCAGGACAACAAAAGTGATTTTATAAAGCGATAAAATCACCAAATTTGGATATATTATTTCAATTTCGATTCTAACACGACAACAACAGATAAATACTGCCGTACCTGATATTAAGCTAAATTGCACCAATTTGTTTCGTACTTCAGTCTTTTCAGCAAGTCACATTTTTAGTTGTTACGTCACATATCTAATGGTTAAGTCACATGTCTAAATATAGAACGTAAAGAGTGATTTTATTGCATATTAACACACACTTTCAGTCTTTCTATGTTCAATAGGGAAAAATGAGGGTCGTGTTAGAATATAGCATAAACCATCAATTTTTCAAATGTACATGGCAGACCTCTTGCAAATAAAATTCTATTTGAAAGACCCCGAATGTATCCAGCTAAATACATGTACCACAAATGGCATTCTGGTAAAGTTATATTAGTTTATGGCAGACTTCCCAGGCTTAATTATATACAATAGGCGACCAGGAAGTTTGTAGATTAAATATTTAACATTCTTTTTATTTGAATACTAAGAATGAAACTGGAAACATAGTTTTATAAACATTTTCTAATAAGCGTACTTGAAATACAAAACACAATCAATATGTTACTCACCAAATCTTTTCGGCGTAATTACATTCTATGTTTTATTTTTAGAATTACCCATTATATATCAAAGCATCATCTGCAGACAGTGAGCTGAAGTTTTACTATACTGTTCACACTTCTCTTGATGTTATTGAAGAGAAAGTATCATCATCAGGGAAAAATGCCAATGAGCTCAGAGAGTTGTATTTAGGTTTACTTTATCCAACAGAAGACTACAAAGTGTATCCTTTGAAAAGTTGAAATGCCATTTATTGTTATTGCCTTACAGTAAATACTTACATTATTTTCATGATTAAATTTGTCTTTGTACAATACATATTAGTGAAGATTACATTTGAGTCTTTTTATAACATTTTCTTCTTTGAAAAAATTCAAACAATAATTTTAAGTAAGCTATTATGGTTAATATGAAAAAGTTAGTAGTGTCAAATTCTAAAAACTTTCATAAGAATTAATTCAAGATAATACATGATTTAAACCTTAACATCAGTCAGATATGGATATGTTACAAATACAAAAATTAAATTTGTTATTGTTGTAGAATCATCCAACACAACTTTGCGGGACAATGAAATTAGAAGTGTAAGTGTTTATTTTCATCAGTAACAGCTTACTTAGTTGATTTTGTTTGTTCCTTTTATATGTGCATGTGAGAGATGTGAGTACTTCCCTATTTTTAGTACCAGAAAGTTTAGACACTTTTTGATGGAGCATAAATTACATAATGTGTACAGTTTCCGTTTTTCCTTCCATCTGTCCGTCCTTTAATCACATTTAATGGTTTCTTGTAGTACTTTCATTTTTTTGAGTTAGAAATTGGATGTGCTGTTATCTTCTATGGACCTCTCCCCTGGGATAAGTTTTAGCCGAAATGAATCAAAGTCAAGGTCACTTGGGCTAAAAATAGATTTTCCTATTTTACTCGGAGTAAATGAGTAAAATGACGAGCATCCATCTTTTTTACCAATATTGTATTTGATCCTGTTGATTTAGGATCATGGGTGATGACCAATGGTTTTAGAACTGTAGACAGCTTATGATAAACCTTCTTTTCTTTCTTTTTTTAAATCACAAGAAACTTGATGAAAGGAATACTCAGAATTATACAGCAATTAGTATAATGAAGAATAAGTTATAGTGAAATGTTATATATATTTGTAATTTTATTTTTTTAACATTTCAGATGTTCAGAAAGTTACACAATGCCTATGTTGACATGTTGTGTAATCCATTTTACATTCCTGGAGAGAATATCACTTCAAAGTAAGTAAAGTACATATTATAAATAACATAGTTCTATATTATATTCAGAGTCATATAACTCATTTTTTTACTAAAGGGATTTTAATCAAATTTTCACAGAACTATTGTCACCAAGTTTTGCACCATATCAAACATTCACTTACAGTATTCTTTTATTTTTGTTACTTTAGTATGTCTGTTGATCTATATTTACAAATAAGTTATATATCAATTACAAACTGTCCCAATATACAGTGCAAACTCTGCTTATGGACCCTTTGTAGAGCAATCACCTCTGTAGAGAAATAACCTCTGCAGAGAAATAACCTCTGTATAGCAATACCTTCTGTAGAGCAGTAACCTTTGTGAAGGAATTACCTCTTCACAACAACAGTATCAGTTCTTTCAAAAATGAGATTTCATAATAAAGTAGAGCTGTCATTGATTCAGTAAAATGCATATCAATGATATATCAATATGTATGTCAAATATCTGTGATACACTGATATATCGATTTTTACTCAGTCATCGAATTTAGCAAGGGCCCGGTGGCCCATGGCCAGTGAAAATTTGTTCGGCCTAGTGTAAATTTTAAGAAAAATTTAGTTGAATATATAGTAGAATAAATTCAAAACTGGAATTCGGGCCAGGAAATTCAAAATCTTAAATTCAATGACTGTTTACTTACATGTATCTATATTTCACCTTCTTACATATTTTTCATTAATTCAGTAAAATAAATGTTCTGTGCATAAAATTATGATGTTAATATTTTGTAAAATGCCCTCTGCATGTTTTTTTCTGACTATCCTATATGTCCACCCCTATGAAAATGAAAATTTTAAAAATTAGGTTTTAAACCCATCCCATTTTAACATGACCCAAAGTTTTTTTTTGTTTTGGTTTGTTTTTTTCCTTTTTTCCCTAGACTTTTTTAAATTTTTCCAAAAATTTTTTTTTTAAAATTTCTTTTTTCAAAAACCCAAAAAACAAAAAAAATATAAAACAATAAGGGGATATCCTTTCAAAAGGGTTGACAGTTTCTAAAAATAAATTTAAACCCTTCTGGGGGCAAAAAATTTCCCTTCGAAAAAATTTTTTTTTTTTTTGGGTTCTTAAAGGGTTTTCCCTATACACGGGTTTTGTACTGTACCTGAAATTTTTTTTTAAACAAAACTTTTTAAAAAGAAAACAAATGTAAAACATGTTTTGTATTAATTGAAATTTTCTTAAATAATAAATACATTTTTGATATTATTTTTTTAAAGGTCTTTAAATTAATACTGTGATACCCTTTGATGAAAAAAGATAAAAAATTGTGCAGTTTTAGTTTGCCCCCTCAAATTTTTTTCCCAAAACAAAAATTGTTGTTTGGGAAAAACAAAAAATTTTTAAAAAACAACATTGTGTTGAAATTTAGGAAAGTTAAAACAGTCGCTTAGTAAAATATAAACTTTTTCCCAATTAATTTTTCCCTATCATTATTTTAAATTTGGGGAATTGTTACTTTTCTATTTAAAGGGCCCCTGTTTAAAATTTAACCCCCATTTTTTTTTTTGGGTACAAAAATTTTGCTTTAGGGGGGACCATGATAGGGCTTTTTGATGTTAAATTTTTGTAATTATGAAAACTTAAATTTTGGAAAGGAATATGATGGTTTTCCCCTTAAACTTATAATAATAGGATTTTAAAAACCATATAAACCTTAGTGCAGAAACAAGTTAAACCCTTTTGGGAAATTTTAAAAGGGGGAAAGATAACTCATTCTGCACAAAAAGGGAAATGATAAATTATAAATTATTTCGACCAAGCTTGAAAATTTGCGGGTTTAAATAAAATTTAATAAAAATGTTTTGGGGGGTTGAGAGTTACCTAGTAGAAAAAAAATTTTTTTGGGAAAATTTTAATTTTTACCCAAGTGTCATTTAATCCTTTTAAATGAAAAATTTGTAAACTTTTTTTGCCCACTGAAAATGGGAATTTAAAATTTTTTATATGGGGAATTTCCCAATATGTCGGCATACGGGTATTGTTTACACAAATTATTGAGACCCTCCTGAAAAGTGAATATTTTTTGAAAAAAAATAATTTCTGTCCAAAATTGAAAAGTAAAAATTTTCTCCTTAAGTATCCCATAAAAACGGGTTTTAATTTTTTCACTTATTTTTTGTTAAAATACTCGAAATATATTTTTATAACTTAAAAAAAAATGTGCAAAAAAGAAGAAAAATTCTTGGGAAAAATTGGGTATTTTTTCCCAAAAATAGTTTTGTTTGGCCCCACTAATAAATATATAACTTTAGATATTTTTTTTTTCAGGAGTTTGTAGGGTAAAAAGGGTTTTAATGAAATTAGCTATTAAACCCCATTCTGTTTTATGATATAATATGTCCCCCTCTTTCAGGGCATTATAGATTTTAGGGCCCCCAAAAAGGTTTTTAATGCATATGTATTGATTGGCTGAGTGGTTTTTACTCTGGTTCGTCCCTGGGGAAACCCAATATTAAAGGATGTTTAAAGAGTACTTGATTCCCCCCAGAAAAAGACAAAAAAAGAGTATGATTACCAGGGTATCACTTTTTAAAAACAATAAACCGTTTTTTGTAGGCTAAACCTTTCCCCCACCCCAATGCCCAAAAAATAAAAAAATTTCATAAATTTTTTTTCCCAAATAAAGAAAAGACATTTTATTTGTTCTCGTATTTTTGATTACGTTTCTATATGAAGGGTTCAAAATATGGAAATTTTCTATTAAAGGGGGATTTCTATTTTAGTACTTTTTTCCTTTTTAAAATTGTTTCAAATTTTGGGATAAAAAAGGGAAATCGGGGACCGAGGGGGTTAAGGTCTTTTACTTAAACCCACTTCCCCCTCCCGCTGTGTGTTTTGGAATCCAAAAGGGATTTTGGGATTCTTTAATCTGGGGAAGCTATCGCAGCTACCCTTATTTTTGTTCGGGTTTAAGCTGCTACATGACTTAAAAAAGCGGGTTTTTAGATTTGGCCGTTGCGGGTTTACTCCCTACTTTTTTTTGCTTTCCGGGTTTTTCTTTGGGTTTGCTGGTTGCTCTTTTTTCTTTTGCTGCTGTTTTTAAAACCACTGCCTTCGCTGATACACTTCTATTCTGCTGGTTTTATTTTTTCCCAATTCTGGAAACTGCTACTTGTCCGTGCGGGTTTTTAAATTTTTCCCGATGCTGATATGCTACTTTTTTCTTTTGCTTGTTTTACTTTTTCCCGATGCTGGTACTTTTTTACTTTATGCTGCTAGTTTACTATTCCCGATGCGGGGAAAAGTATTTGCTACTTCTACCTGCGCGGGTTTTAAACTTTTTCCCGATGCTGGTACTGCTATTCTATTTGCTGGGGTTTTTATTTTCCCCGGATGCTGGAAATGCTTTTACTGCGGGCTGCTTTTACCACTGTGCTGCTATATACTGTTCCACCAACTACCATTTTTCTAATGTTTCCGCTAAACCCAGAAATTACTTTATTCCCAATTGTTACTACTTTGAAATGAAAATGTAAAAAAAGTTTTTTTTTTTTTTTCCCTTTTTTTGGGTTTTCACTTGTTCAAAAAAATTTTTTTGAAATGTTTATTATTTAATGTATTTTCTATCAAAGTGCATATTTTTCCCTGTAAAATATTAGAACAGAGAGAAAAAAATTTAAAAATTTATTTGGGACTTGTCCCTTTTCATAAAAAATGAAAAATACATTCTTTCAAAAATGGGAAAAGTATGTTGAACATATTAAACTGTAAAAATAAATTTTAATTTTTTTTCATACATATTTTTGTGATTTTTAAAAAACTTTTGTTTTTTAAAATTAGGGGAGTCACAAAAATGTGACTAAAATAAGATTTTTAAACCCGCAATAAACCCACCACTTTTTAAATTTAATTTTTTTTCCTAACTTAAATTTGAGATATTTTGCCCAGGAAATAGAAAATTTTTTTGGCTGAAAGGTTTTTTTTTAAGGGTTAATTTTAAAATCCCAAGGGGGGAAAAGTGGTGGGAAACCAAAAATTAGTTCTCCCTCCCCTCAAAACTTATGCAAAAGGGGATTCCCTTTTTCACTTGTTTTCTCTCAATAATTTTCCTTCCCTTCAATTTGAAGAATTCCTTTCCAATAAATAAAGGGAAATAAAACTTTCCGAATGTCAATGTCTGGATCCAAAGGTTTTTTTAAATCCTCACGTCAAAAACTAAAAAACAACCGTAATCTAATGCCCATAGACAAAAATTTTTTAAAAGCCCAATTACATGATAAAAAAGAGAAAAGTGTTGTCTGAAATAAAAAAAAATGGGAAATGCGAATTCTTTGCAGCTGTACTATTTTTTCGGTTGTTAGGGGAACCGAGCCTGAATTTGTACCATCCTAGAATTAAAATGTCAAAAAAACCCAGACCGGGAAAAAAGGGAAAAGGGAAAATTTTTAGTTTGTTTTTTTTGTGAAGGCCCACGTCCCAAGACATCTCTTTCAGTTTTCAAAGGGTTCTTTGATAAAACATTTTTTTTTTTTAAATTTTTCCAGGGAAAACCCAATAGAAATTAAATTGTTTTGGGTAAAAAAACCACAAAACTTTAAAAAAACCCCAATCGCCCTCTTTTTAACTGCCCAATGGTTGTGAAAAGGGAAAAAATCGAAGTTTTGAAAATTTGTTTTTCAAAAAATTTACTTTAAATCCCCACCAAAAGTTGTTTCATCCCCTTGCAGGGGGACAAATTAAAACTTTTAAATTCCCAATCCAAGCAAAATTTTTTCGGAAAAATCCCCAAATTTGAAAAATTTAAATTAAAACTTTTTTTTTTTTTTTTTTTTTTTTTTTTTTTTTTTTTCTCTTTTTCAATTAAAATCTTTCCCATTTAAAATTTTCCTTTGGGGAAATTCCATGTTTTTTGGGGGTTATATAAAAATTTCATTTTTCCCCTTTAACGATCGAATCAAGACTCGATTAAATTTGGGCCAAAATTTTTTTCTGAAATATAATTTCTAACCCCTAACTGTTCTTTCTGGCTC